GGATGAATCTCATCTGTAGACTGTTAAAATCCTTATATTCATGCATGAGGAATATCATTTGTAGATTGTGTAAACTTCCCATATTCATGGCTTATTAATCTCATCAGCAAATTGTATTACTTTTTCATACTCATGGCTGAGACATATCGCATGTAGATTATACAACATTCTTATATTCATGGCTTATGAATATCATAAATTGACTCTATAATTTTTTACTCTTAACATTCCCTGCTCCAACAGTATTGTAAAGTCAACATCCATTGCTCCATCAGTAAAGCCAACATCCACTGCTCCATCAGTAAAGTCAACATCCACTGCTCCATCAGTATTGTAAAGTCAACATCCACTGCTCCATCAGTAAAGTCAACATCAACTGCTCCATCAGTAAAGTCAACATCCACTGCCCCATCAGTCTTGTAAAGTCAACATCCACTGCTCCATCAGTAAAGTCAACATCCACTGCTCCATCAGTAAAGTCAACATCCACTGCTCCATCAGTATTGTAAAGTCAACATCAACTGCTCCATCAGTAAAGTCAACATCCACTGCTCCATCAGTAAAGTCAACATCCACTGCTCCATCAGTATTGTAAAGTCAACATCCACTGCTCCATCAGTAAAGTCAACATCCACTGCTCCATCAGTAAAGTCAACATCCACTGCTCCATTAGTAAAGTCAACATCCACTGCCCCATCAGTATTGTAAAGTCAACATCAATTGCTCCATCAGTAAAGTCCACATCCACTGCTTCATCAGTAAAGTCAACATCCACTGCTCCATCAGTATTGTAAAGTCAACATCCACTGCTCCATCAGTAAAGTCAACATCCACTGCTCCATCAGTAAAGTCAACATCCACTGCTCCATTAGTAAAGTCAACATCCACTGCCCCATCAGTATTGTAAAGTCAACATCAATTGCTCCATCAGTAAAGTCCACATCCACTGCTTCATCAGTAAAGTCAACATCCACTGCTCCATCAGTATTGTAAAGTCAACACCCACTGCTCCATCAGTAAAGTCAACATCAATTGCTCCATCAGTAAAGTCAACATCCACTGCTCCATCAGTAAAGTCAACATCCACTGCTCCATCAGTATTGTAAAGTCAACATCCACTGCTCCATCAGTAAAGTCAACATCAATTGCTCCATCAGTAAAGTCAACATCCACTGCTCCATTAGTATTGTAAAGTCAACATCCACTGCTCATCAGTAAAGTCAACATCAATTGCTCCATCAGTAAAGTCAACATCCACTGCTCCATTAGTTTTGTAAAGTCAACATCAACTGCTCTATCAGTAAAGTCAACATCCACTGCTCCATCAGTAAAGTCAACATCCACTGCTTTATCAGTAAAGTCAACATCCACTGCTCCATCAGTAAAGTCAACATCCACTGCTCCATCAGTATTGTAAAGTCAACATCCACTGCTCCATCAGTAAAGTCAATATCCACTGCTCCATCAGTAAATTCAACATCCACTGCTCCATCAGTAAAGTCAGCATCCACTGCTCCATCAGTAAAGTCAACATCAATTGCTCTATCAGTAAAGTCAACATCCACTGCTCTATCAGTAAAGTCAACATCCACTGCTCTATCAGTAAAGTCAACATCCACTGCTCCGTCAGTATTGTAAAGTCAACATCAACTGCTCCATCAGTAAAGTCAACATCCACTGCTCCATCAGTATTGTAAAGTCAACATCCACTGCTCCATCAGTAAAGTCAACATCCACTGCTCCATCAGTAAAGTCAACATACACTGCTCCATCAGTATTGTAAAGTCAACATACACTGCTCCATTAGTAAAGTCAACATCCACTGCTCCATCAGTAAAGTCAACATCCACTGCTCCATCAGTAAAGTCAACATCAATTGCTCTATCAGTAAAGTCAACATCCACTGCTCTATCAGTAAAGTCAACATCCACTGCTCTATCAGTAAAGTCAACATCCACTGCTCCGTCAGTATTGTAAAGTCAACATCAACTGCTCCATCAGTAAAGTCAACATCCACTGCTCCATCAGTATTGTAAAGTCAACATCCACTGCTCCATTAGTAAAGTCAACATCCACTGCTCCATCAGTAAAGTCAACATCCACTGCTCCATCAGTATTGTAAAGTCAACATACACTGCTCCATCAGTAAAGTCAACATCCACTGCTCCATCAGTAAAGTCAACATCCACTGCTCTATCAGTAAAGTCAACATCCACTGCTCTATCAGTAAAGTCAACATCCACTGTACTATCAGTAAAGTCAACATCCACTGCTTCATCAGTAAAGTCAAGTTTTCTGAAAATCTCGATTTCGATTTTCAGCACGATTAAAATACTTTCTCTATACTTCAAAGAGGAGAAAGTAAAAACAAAAAACCAACAGTAGCCTGCAATCTCGTTAGGACAATTATCTGTCACACGTTCGTCAGTGGTCGACTCTCACACAAAAAAATAATTCGCTTAACCGACATATCACAGTCAACGGTTAGCTGGTCAAAGACGACTAGTATTTAATATTATCTCCCCTTTTAATGTTGAAATTAGTAATCGTTAACTTAAATGACTAATCTTATGTTTAATTAGATACAATTTGATATTTTAGCATTGTTATGAGAAACATATGTAACTGCTGAAAGAACGAAATGGCTGCAACAGAATTCAGTTTGAGGTTTTTTCAAGAACCCACTAACAAACAAACAAAACAAACCAAAAAAAAAAAAAATTGTGACCAAATAAAAATGAAGCGGGAGTTATCTCCCCTATAATTTCTAGTATGTTTTAAATAACAGTGAGGGCTGGGATGACACTTCAAGTGTAGTCGGGCTACAGAAATATATAAGTGCGACACTTAATGAATTTTTGTATATTCTGGTATACAGAGTAAAGAGGAAGTATTGTAATCGTACAGAGAAAAGTAATTAAAATATGAATAGTACCGGAAGTGGTACTTTACTCTATTTTATTTTTGTGAAAACACGAAATTTGTTTTTTTAGGGAAACAAAAATTTAATTTATAAGTTGACCGTCGTGTATTTGCATTACTCTCAAATTATGAGCGACACCAATATCCGGGAGTGGTAATCATTTCTTTTTCCAGTTTCTAAAATACCTTTTCAGGTATGTAGATTTTTAAACATAAGTTTAAATCTTTATCTTGTTGATTCCTTTAAGTTTTAAATTACTCCGGAAGTAGACCATTACAATGTTTTCGAATTTTAATTTTTTTTTAAATTTTTGTATAGCCCAGTTTCTTTGGAAGTGATATTCAAACTTCTCTTTGTTACCATAAATCGCTCAAAATAGAAATCTATACACATAAACGAATACAAAATATATGACGTTTTGTCAATCTTACTGAAACGGTACTCAAATTATCGGTATTTTAGAATCAGAAAAATGAATTAGAAACCACTTCCAAATATCCTAGATCACTCAAAAATGTAAGCAAAGAATAGGATTGTATACTTACAGTGGCGTAGCGAGGTCGGGTGTCACCCGGTGCGGTACTTAATGGTGTCACCCCCCCCCCCCCCCCAGAGGCGTTGCGACCCTTCCCGGGGACAAACTTTCAAGTTTTTCGATTTGCACCCCCCCCCCACTATCAAACGTTCGATTTGCAACCCCCCCTCAAGTTTTTCTCTATATATTTTGCTATTTTTTGCCTTGGTGTCACCCCCCTAAATGGTGTCACCCGGTGCGGTCCGCACCCCCGCCCCCCCCCCCTCGCTACGCCCCTGTATACTTATATATATGAGATTCCGTCTTCCTAAAAGAAGGTACTCTGTGTATCGTGTCCTCGTTAAAGTCACGTTGAGTACCAGTTCTGTTTACCCGAAATCGTGTAAAGGAAAACAAAACAACTAATGAGATAATCCAGAGGCGTAGCGAGGGGGGGGGGGGTGCGGGGGGTGACACCATTTAGAAGGGGGGGGGGACACCAAGGCAAAAAAATAGTAAAATATATAGAGAAAAACTTGAGGGGGGTGCAAATCGAAAATTTGAGGGGGTGCGTGCAAATCGAAAATTTTAAAGTTTGTCCCCGGGAAAGGTCGCTACGCCTCTGGAGGGGGAGGAGACACCATTAAGTTCCGCGCCGGGTGACACCCGACCTCGCTACGCCACTGAGATAATCTATTTCTTTTCAGGGGAATTCTTTCCGCCCAACGGTCAAGTTATCGGCCTTTGAGAAACGAGAAGTTGAAAAATTTAGGCTTATGAAAAGAACTCAAAAGTTGACACATGAATGGAAATGTTTAAATAATACTTATACACGACATGTGGTCACCCCAACTAAAACAGGTACTCAACCCAAACACTCCCACACACAGACACAAAGACAACATGGCGAAACTATGATTTTTTTCGACGAGGACGGTATAAAACGTCGAGATTTGACGAAATATCGCATCAATTCTTGCACACTTACAATGTCTTATTTACTCCATATAAAGTAGTGAGGTGTATGTAAAACGCCTAAATCTCTCAATGTCTCACTAATTACGATACTTCCTATATTCCCTGTATAGTACAAAGTAAAAAAAAACAAACTTTGATAAATGAGCATTATAAAGAAGAAACTAATAATTTACTTTAAAAATATTAATGCACGTCGATTTATATTAATAGGAGTATAACTTGTTTTTGAGCAGCACATATATAATAATATCCATTCTAATTAGTATTTTTGTACTGGAGGATTTCATAACATAAGGTAGCGGCAAACCCTTTTCATTATGGCTTTATAAATAAAGGTGCATTACTATATTTAAAGAAAATATATTTCACGAGCTATTTTAGGTGCACATATAAACGTTTATCGTTCTTATGCGGAAAACTCTAATTTTACAGTTTAGGATTATAGCCGATTTATTAAAAAAAAGAATAAAAATTATTTAGAACATATTAATAAAATTCACAAAATTATGTACAAAAAGTAAGCTAAAAATTCCATAACATTCAGATGTATATTTCCCGAAGCTATACATTTTCAAAAATTTGAATTCAATTTTGAAGAACCGGGGGTCCATTCTCCGTAGGCTCTGTAGGCTCTGTAGGCTCCGTAGGCTCCGTATGCTCCGTATGCTCCGTACGCTCCGTATGCTCCGTACGCTCCGTATGCTCCCTATGCTCCCTATGCTCCGTTCGCTCCGTAGGCCGTTCTTGTGCTTTTACATTCACGGTGCTGACTTTCACACCTACTTTAGTGTGTACTATGATTTTACTGTCTCGAAGCTCCACGCGTGTTTCATATACTTTGCTTAGCTTTCTATTGGTCAGCACGTAGTACAACCGAGGGGCTATCAAAAGCGCGAGGGCTGTAGTGTGATTGATGATGATTGCTAGGATGATGTAGTAGATACGAATCTGTAGCCGGTAGGACATGAAGTAGGCGGGGATGAACGACGCCCATGTGGTGACTTTGATTGTTAGGCACATGGAGAGGAACTCGCTCTCCAAGTAGTGGAATTTAAAAGTTCGGTACCGAGAGATCAGCAGCATGCAGGAGGTCAGGATTAGTATGGTTTGTGTCAGGAATAACAAAAGGTGGACTTGAGGAAAGATGCAGACTTCCTCGACGTAGTCAACCAGCTGAGAAGGCTGTTGCGACACCATCTTGACAGGGAAAGCGTAATGCATCATCACTATCGTAACGGTCTGTCTCAGGGAAGAAAGAGATAAAAATTTACGCAACACAAAATGTATAGGCCTACATGTTTACACATTTTTAACGTGCCCTGCTTTTAAAAAGCTTCGTCTATCGCACACAAATATACAAGTAGAGCAGCCACACACATGCAAAGATTAGCCTCACACAGAAGAAGACCACACACCCACACACACACAAGAAGACCAGCCCCACACAGAAGAAGACCACACACATACACAAGAAGACCAGCCCCACACAGAAGAAGACCACACACATACACAAGAAGACCAGCCACACACACACAAGAAGACCAGCCCCACACAGAAGAAGACCAGCCCCACACAGAAGAAGACCACACACATACACAAGAAGACCAGCCACACACACACATGAAGACCAGCCCCACACAGAAGAAGACCACACACACACACACAAGAAGACCAGCCCCACACATAAGAAGACCAGCCCCACACAGAAGAAGACCACACACATACACAAGAAGACCAGCCACACACACACAAGAAGACCAGCCCCACAAAGAAGAAGACCAGCCACACACAAAAACCAACCACACGTACAAGAACAGCCACACACACGCATACACACACTAAGACCAACCACACACAAAAAAGACTAGCCACTCACACAAAAAGACCAGTGACACACACACACACACACACAAAGACAAGCCTCACACACACACACAAATAGACTAGCCACACACACACAAAGACTAGCCACACATACAAAAATTAGCCACACACTTGAAAACCATCAGCACACAAAAATCAGCCACACACACAAAAACCATCCACACACAAAATCCAGCCACACACGAAAATCAGCCACACACACACACAAACTAAACCACACACACACAAACCAGCCACACACAAAAATCAGCCACACACACACATACACAAAACAACCACACATTGCAAATTTATGACTAGTCCGCTTTTGTAAAGCAAGTATTTGAAATGACACACCTAACGGTTTTTCAAATATGATTCACTAATTGAAATTATCGCTACAATGTCTAGGAATCATAAAAATCCTATATGAACAGTTAGGTCATACATATAATTTACATATTAAAAATGTATTTTCAAAGCAGTCCTTTGATTACTTTTGTAGATGAAAACACCTACTGATTTCAGTTTATAAGCTCAATTTATTGAAATATTTTTAAAAATTAAAGTGAATAACTCTTTAAAAATTAGGATATTTCACAGATACACAAATAGCTTCTAGTTACTAATTAGTCATGCCCAGTTAGTTTATTATTTAACTATAATTAGAAATTAAACTACCTATTTCAACTGCTTAGCATGTCTTTTAAATTTTACTTAGAATATTTTTTATACTTGCCTCAAATATAGCAAATACAATTGCTGCGCTGATCTCAATATCTCGAATAAAACGTTTTCGATGGTTTTTTCCGCTCGAGTATAAGAGATCAAAGGTTTTTATTGCCATGCTGATGTAAAGTGCGTTAAAACTGATTTCGAACAGGCTTAGACCGATGCAGCAGCTGAGCGTTCTCGGTTGAAGAACGAGAACAGGTACTGCCAGGTACCCGGCTGCTATGGCGGAGATTTGACCGTTGGCGATCACAAAGTGAAATCTGGTTATCATGAGAGTTTGTTTTTTAGTATAGTAATTATACTGCACAATCAATGTAATCGTTAGGAGAACTATGGATAGAATAATCAAAAATTGGGATTTTAGTGAGTAGAGGTCGACTTGTGACACTTCAATTAATTTACAAATCGTTTTCCTTCCTTGCTCATATGACGGCCAGTACAGGGCCGGGCATTTCTCGCAGTTGGTGCCGTTGGCAGTGACGATTTCGTAATGGCTGCACTCAATACAGTTCCAGCAGTAGCGAGAGTAGTAGGACCGAAAAGAGTTCCCCGGACATTCGGGTTGGCAATGTTGTGAGGCCAAAAACCTTTCTTCAGGCACGGCGAACCCTTCAAAGTCCATGTGTGCTAGAAATGTCGTCTTCTCAGCATAGTAATCGAACCTAGAAATCTCAACGACTTTACGGCTGACATCATTGACGATCGACTGGAAAATAGATATCGACGATACTCGAATTCTATCTGTCTTAAAAACAAAATGACCTTGGTCCGTAAAGGACATCACGCTTTCGATGCTTGCAACCATTTCACCTCTATTTTGACGGAAGCAAGACATCGCCTCTTGTTTCGATTTTCCATGGCAAAATGTTTTTAATAAAGAAGACAATGCTCTGGCATATATCTTAACAGTATCGAATATATCCCCAAAGGGTATCGTATTTAGTATATTGCTGTCTTCAGTTATTCGTTGAGCGCAAGCCTTATTAAAACATTTATAAACTTTTTCATAAACGTCTATTAGCCAAGGATCTCGCGGATGTTTTACATCTAACTCCGACAATTGTTCTTTTAACCCTGGAACAGGATAGGCCGACGCTGCTAAAACTAGAAAGCCTTTATTTAAATTTCCATAATACAGATCGTATAAAAAGAAATTGCATCCTATAATGATAATAGAACCTTCTAAACCCGAGCTATTCACAGCCTTAGAAATTTTCTGTACTAATGTGTTTCGGACGAAGACAACGATAACGTAGACACCGAAATGTTTGCGATGGTAGAGAAGCAGGCTCTCGGCGTCTACATCTTCCCTTACGCTAGAGATGACAGCTATGGACAAGCCATGCGATTTGTACCCATTGTTCAACAGTCTCAAACAACCTATCCCGTAGCTTGATTTTTCAGCAATCACGGAGAAGTAGAGCCAACGTTTTATGGCAAGGAACTGCAGCAAAGCTCTGATGTGTTGCCTCTGTGCGCTTGTAAGCCGAAAAAATGTTGGGTAATGGACCTGTCATTGGAAGATTAATCAATTAGTGTGTATTCAAACAAAACATTTAAATGTAATACCAATGCAATAGACAGACCCTTTCACAAAGAAAGTAAATAGTGTGGGCTAATTGAGTAATTAAAAGTTTTGTGCAACAGTATCTTTGTGGAATTAAATACATAGCGTTCAACTAGTGTTTGTTATTTTTTTTTTGATGGTTCTAAAACTATTATTATTGTTAGTTGTTAAAATGTACAAAGAACCGATTTTGTTCAGGGTTAGCTTTTTACGTGATAACATTTACTTTTGGGTAATAAAAATACAGCGGTTTATAAGTGCCTCGGACGCCTCAATTTAGAGGTTTAATATCATTGACGTGAATATTATGACGATATGTTTTTGTATAACCCTCAATATGCTAGAGATTCTTTAGTTGAAATCTCATTGACGTGAATATTATGACGATATGTTTTTGTATAACCCTCAATATGCTAGAGATTCTTTAGTTGAAATCTCATTGACGTGAATATTATGACGATATGTTTTTGTATAACCCTCAATATGCTAGAGATTCTTTAGTTGAAATCTCATTGACGTGAATATTATGACGATATGTTTTTGTATAACCCTCAATATGCTAGAGATTCTTTAGTTGAAATCTCATTGACGTGAATATTATGACGATATGTTTTTGTATAACCCTCAATATGCTAGAGATTCTTTAGTTGAAATCTCATTGACGTGAATATTATGACGATATGTTTTTGTATAACCCTCAATATGCTAGAGATTCTTTAGTTGAAATCTCATTGACGTGAATATTATGACGATATGTTTTGTATAACCCTTAATATGCTAGAGATTCTTTAGTTGAAATCTCATTGACGTGAATATTATGACGATATGTTTTTGTATTACCCTCAATATGCTAGAGATTCTTTAGTTGAAATCTCATTGACGTGAATATTATGACGATATGTTTTTGTATAACCCTCAATATGCTAGAGATTCTTTAGTTGAAATCTCATTGACGTGAATATTATGACGATATCTTTTTGTATAACCCTCAATATGCTAGAGATTCTTTAGTTGAAATCTCATTGACGTGAATATTATGACGATATGTTTTTGTATAACCCTCAATATGCTAGAGATTCTTTAGTTGAAATCTCATTGACGTGAATATTATGACGATATGTTTTTGTATAACCCTCAATATGCTAGAGATTCTTTAGTTGAAATCTCATTGACGTGAATATTATGACGATATGTTTTTGTATAACCCTCAATATGCTAGAGATTCTTTAGTTGAAATCTCATTGACGTGAATATTATGACGATATGTTTTTGTATAACCCTCAATATGCTAGAGATTCTTTAGTTGAAATCTCATTGACGTGAATATTATGACGATATGTTTTTGTATAACCCTCAATATGCTAGAGATTCTTTAGTTGAAATCTCATTGACGTGAATATTATGACGATATGTTTTTGTATAACCCTCAATATGCTAGAGATTCTTTAGTTGAAATCTCATTGACGTGAATATTATGACGATATGTTTTGTATAACCCTTAATATGCTAGAGATTCTTTAGTTGAAATCTCATTGACGTGAATATTATGACGATATGTTTTTGTATAACCCTCAATATGCTAGAGATTCTTTAGTTGAAATCTCATTGACGTGAATATTATGACGATATGTTTTTGTATAACCCTCAATATGCTAGAGATTCTTTAGTTAAAATCTCATTGACGTGAATATTATGACGATATGTTTTTGTATAACCCTCAATATGCTAGAGATTCTTTAGTTGAAATCTCATTGACGTGAATATTATGACGATATGTTTTTGTATAACCCTCAATATGCTAGAGATTCTTTAGTTGAAATCTCATTGACGTGAATATTATGACGATATGTTTTTGTATAACCCTCAATATGCTAGAGATTCTTTAGTTGAAATCTCATTGACGTGAATATTATGACGATATGTTTTGTATAACCCTTAATATGCTAGAGATTCTTTAGTTGAAATCTCATTGACGTGAATATTATGACGATATGTTTTTGTATTACCCTCAATATGCTAGAGATTCTTTAGTTGAAATCTCATTGACGTGAATATTATGACGATATGTTTTTGTATAACCCTCAATATGCTAGAGATTCTTTAGTTGAAATCTCATTGACGTGAATATTATGACGATATCTTTTTGTATAACCCTCAATATGCTAGAGATTCTTTAGTTGAAATCTCATTGACGTGAATATTATGACGATATGTTTTTGTATAACCCTCAATATGCTAGAGATTCTTTAGTTGAAATCTCATTGACGTGAATATTATGACGATATGTTTTTGTATAACCCTCAATATGCTAGAGATTCTTTAGTTGAAATCTCATTGACGTGAATATTATGACGATATGTTTTTGTATAACCCTCAATATGCTAGAGATTCTTTAGTTGAAATCTCATTGACGTGAATATTATGACGATATGTTTTTGTATAACCCTCAATATGCTAGAGATTCTTTAGTTGAAATCTCATTGACGTGAATATTATGACGATATGTTTTTGTATAACCCTCAATATGCTAGAGATTCTTTAGTTGAAATCTCATTGACGTGAATATTATGACGATATGTTTTTGTATAACCCTCAATATGCTAGAGATTCTTTAGTTGAAATCTCATTGACGTGAATATTATGACGATATGTTTTGTATAACCCTTAATATGCTAGAGATTCTTTAGTTGAAATCTCATTGACGTGAATATTATGACGATATGTTTTTGTATTACCCTCAATATGCTAGAGATTCTTTAGTTGAAATCTCATTGACGTGAATATTATGACGATATGTTTTTGTATAACCCTCAATATGCTAGAGATTCTTTAGTTGAAATCTCATTGACGTGAATATTATGACGATATCTTTTTGTATAACCCTCAATATGCTAGAGATTCTTTAGTTGAAATCTCATTGACGTGAATATTATGACGATATCTTTTTGTATAACCCTCAATATGCTAGAGATTCTTTAGTTGAAATCTCATTGACGTGAATATTATGACGATATGTTTTTGTATAACCCTCAATATGCTAGAGATTCTTTAGTTGAAATCTCATTGACGTGAATATTATGACGATATGTTTTTGTATAACCCTCAATATGCTAGAGATTCTTTAGTTGAAATCTCATTGACGTGAATATTATGACGATATGTTTTTGTATAACCCTCAATATGCTAGAGATTCTTTAGTTGAAATCTCATTGACGTGAATATTATGACGATATGTTTTTGTATAACCCTCAATATGCTAGAGATTCTTTAGTTGAAATCTCATTGACGTGAATATTATGACAATATGTTTTTGTATAACCCTCAATATGCTAGAGATTCTTTAGTTGAAATCTCATTGACGTGAATATTATGACGATATGTTTTTGTATAACCCTCAATATGCTAGAGATTCTTTAGTTGAAATCTCATTGACGTGAATATTATGACGATATGTTTTTGTATAACCCTCAATATGCTAGAGATTCTTTAGTTGAAATCTCATTGACGTGAATATTATGACAATATGTTTTTGTATAACCCTCAATATGCTAGAGATTCTTTAGTTGAAATCTCATTGACGTGAATATTATGACGATATGTTTTTGTATAACCCTCAATATGCTAGAGATTCTTTAGTTGAAATCTCATTGACGTGAATATTATGACGATATGTTTTTGTATAACCCTCAATATGCTAGAGATTCTTTAGTTGAAATCTCATTGACGTGAATATTATGACGATATGTTTTTGTATAACCCTCAATATGCTAGAGATTCTTTAGTTGAAATCTCATTGACGTGAATATTATGACGATATGTTTTTGTATAACCCTCAATATGCTAGAGATTCTTTAGTTGAAATCTCATTGACGTGAATATTATGACAATATGTTTTTGTATAACCCTCAATATGCTAGAGATTCTTTAGTTGAAATCTCATTGACGTGAATATTATGACGATATGTTTTTGTATAACCCTCAATATGCTAGAGATTCTTTAGTTGAAATCTCATTGACGTGAATATTATGACGATATGTTTTTGTATAACCCTACTATTTATCGTTTCCGGTGTGTTTCACTTTTTTATTCTACTTATGACTGTCAGTTTAGAATTATAATATTTTACCTTGTCCGACAGTTCGTCTTCGGAAGCTGACGAGCTGATGACTGGCATACTAACGGCTCCAAGAACCGACGAGAGTGGTATCGTAGTCGAACTGGACTCGGTACCTACCATTCCGATTACATCGAACGATCTCAAATAGCCAGGGACGTCTGTGAGAATATAAGATTAAGTTTGGGGTATAATTGTAATCACATGTTTTGAATTTGTTAATGGAACTAGGATCACAATAACACAAACCTCTATCATCATATGCTGTTAGATTCTACATATTAACACACACCTTTCGCATTTTATGCTGTTAGATTCTACATATTAACACAAACCTTTAGCATCATATGCTGTTAGATTCTACATATTAACACAAACCTTGTGCATCATATGCTGTTAGATTTTACATATTAACACAAACATTTTGCATCATATGCTGTTAGATTCTACATATTAACACACACCTTTTGCATCATATGCTGTTAGATTCGACATATTAACACAAACATTTTGCATCATATGCTGTTAGATTCTACATATTCACACAAACCTTTAGCATCATATGCTGTTAGATTCTACATATTAACACAAACATTTTGCATCATATGCTGTTAGAGTCGACATATTAACACAAACCTTTAAGCATCATATGCTGTTAGATTCTACATATTAACACAAACCTTTCGCATTTTATGCTGTTAGATTCTACATATTAACACAAACCTTTAAGCATCATATGCTGTTAGATTCTACATATTAACTCAAACCTTTAGCATCATATGCTGTTAGATTCTACGTATTAACACAAACCTTTTGCTTCATATGCTGTTAGATTCTACATATTAACACAAACATTTTGCATCATATGCTGTTAGAGTCGACATATTAACACAAACCTTTAAGCATCATATGCTGTTAGATTCTACATATTAACACAAACATTTTGCATCATATGCTGTTAGATTCGACCCATTAACACAAACCTTTATCATCAATTAATGCTGTTAGATTTGACTGGGGAATGAAGCGAAGGGCTTGCAGAGCCGATACGTTTGCTTTCTCGCAGTTGTCCACGATCACATAACCTAATTGTAAATCACTACGAACTTCTCTCATCTGAAAAAGAAACAAAATACACGAGTCAATTTTTTAAAAAGATTGGTTTATTGTACTAAAGTAAAATAAAACGTCAAATTTTATTTTATTTTCCTTAGTCTGAGTATGTGTTGTGGTGTAATATATATATATATATATATATATATATATATATATATATATATATATATATATATATATATATATATAGCAGAGCATGTTTGAAGATGAGGTTTTGTTTTGGTATTCACAATAGGTGGAAAAACAAATAGCATTTTCGATACTAAGAACATTTAGAAGGATATCAGTACAGCAAAGGTCAACAACACATTTGGAAAAAAATTGTTCCATGTATTCAGTCATTTTGGGGGTTATTTAAACCCCTTTAAATTATGCGCAGAATTAAACCTGAAGCGATAAAGCTGATGCCAACAGGACACAAAGATAAAGTAGACTACAAATGTATATTTTATATTTCATTATATCTCAAATTTTGCCCACCTTGTTGACGACCTCAACTGCATAGACCATTGTTCTCATCATAATATAAGGGATGCTGTTCTCAATATGTTTGCAGTCGACTGTCACACCAAACGATCCTCCGATTAGAAAGTCCCCTGGCTTATAGAAATAGACATCCTTCAGGTCCCCACCATAGACGTACTGGTCTGAGTAGTGGGGGAAGTTGAGCATTAGAAACAAGCTGGACAGGACTGGTGTAAGTGTATGGAGCATGATCAAACTTGATATCTGTTAAAAAAAAACATATTGATATTTTGAATTATAGTTGTTCTAGTTATTTTCGTCAGTTAAAAAATTAGTTTAAGATGCTCTAGGCTGTTAAAGTTTTGAATTTTTTCTTCCAATCAGTGGAGACCCAACATGTTTTAACGGTCAATGAACCTTAATAATGAATCGCAGCTTCTGTTTCGCTACCCTGTCTATTTAAAGGTCAATACAACTACAATGAAAAAACTCCATTTTGCGTATTAATTGTAGTGCGCTAATAATTAAATAACAATGTTTTCTTTTTACAAAAATAACACTAAATACCGTCTTTCATTTATTGAATGGAATTTCTTATTTCATTTAGCTATTAAAAAGTTTATCAACCCAATATTTTAAAAATTAAAATTTTGACATTGAAACTTGATGATTTAAGATTTGCTTGCATGGAAAATGAATGTATCATTTTGTGCATTTTTGTAAAAAAAATTCTCAGTTCCACTTTTTGAAAAACAAACTTTAAGATGACTATCTTAGTTTTTATTTGAATTGAACTGGTTTCTTTAGCTATTCTTTATACACAGACCAATACAATTTTAGAACACTTGAACATAATTTCTGATTCTTCTTCTAAAGAAGTGCTATTGCTGTGATGGTTATTTTTAACTAATTTTTTAAATGTGCAAAATTAATCTATTAGAAGACTAACCTACAAGTTTTCTCTTTATGGAATTTGTTTACGCATTCCTAGATATATTTCAAATTTCAATGTAAATAACATCAAAAACGGCCGTCATCATCCATGTCAAAGGTGAAATTGTTGATACTTTTTCTCTATAATTAAGATTACGGCTTTTAAACTAGATGTAGATCCAGATCTATATAATATAGATCTAGATCTAGATCTACCAACATGTAACACCATAAGTTTTGGAAATAAGATCTTTGAATCACCCATAAATCACCCACAAGGAAATACTATATTAGTACCCTGGTGTATTATAACCATTCAACCAATGGCGTATTTAACGTTATAGAATTTTAATTGAAATCTAAAATTAAATCACTACTTAACTGATTGTACATAATTTAAACAGGAAATATTGACATGAATTAATTCAAGCAACTTTCCGGCCTCGATTGCAATGTGAACAATGGTGCACGTAAAACATTTAATAGGAAATTTCCATAAATTATTATTTTGAATCGAGTGTGTAAATTTTTACCAGCTTTTACTTACGGGGCTGGGCTCCGTAAAAAACAACTTTTTAATTAATGAGCTGTATTTTTTAAATTGTGCATTTAAGTTGGAGTACTTCAATTAGATATTTGTATGCATTAGGGACTCTTCTGAAAAAAATTGGTTGCCATGGCAAAAGCGGCCATCTTGGAAAATCAACTGTTGGTTGAGGTCTTGAAGCTAATACATTAACATGTATTGATCCTATAAACATTGATCCTTCAAATAGAGTCCAATGGATAGTTATTCTAAAAGAAAACACCGTAGATTTTTTTTTCGAATTTTCTAAATTTTGTTTGGTGACATACCATTTAAATTAATTTCAAAATGTATCTAGCCGCCTCTCGCGCAATGGACTTCGATTATTTTTATTAGAAGAATTTTGCCGACAACAGCGTGTATTTGGTTGCAGGAGAAAGAGGACTCGGCTTTCACAGTGGATTAAAAACAAAGGGAAAAAGAAATACAAAAGCGTGGGATGGTGTCTATAGAATAAAGATAATCCAACCGCAGCTACAATAACCTTTTTACAAAACAACCATCAAGTCAAATATGCTAGAAAACTCATTGATTTTAAACTATTAAAAAAAAATTATTATGGAAAGCTGTGTGTTTCTAAATGTTGTGCAGCTCCCCCCCCCCCCCCTCGCGGGGTCTGGCGGCATAGTAGTTACATCCCTGGTAGGGATAGAGGTAAGGATATGTATATGGATGAGGATTGGGATAAATTAATGTTTATGTTAGTGTTTTTTTTTTCTGCTGGAGGTTTGTGTTTGCGGTTATGTTCCGAGTAGGTTTTAAGGTTGTATACATGTACCTACTCGTCCATACTTGCATTAGACATTAATTGATTATTTTACAAAACCCCAGGCAGCGCTAGGTGCATACCGCTAGTATATTCATAGTTTTGTAGCCCAATTGTGGCTAGTTTAGTCGTCTAAGACTTTTGTACCTAACGTAATTGTATCGTCGAAATAAATGCATTTAGACCAGTGGCGTAGCGAGGTCGGGTGTCACCCGGTGCGGCACTTAGTGGTGTCAACCCCTAGAGGCGCAGTGACCCTTCTCGGGGACAAACTTTCAAATTTTCGATTTGCACCCCCCCCTCAAACTTTCTATATATTTTGCTATTTTTTGCCTTGGTGTCCCCCCCCCTGAATGGTGTCACCCGGTGCGGTCCGCACCCCCCGCCCCCCCCCCACCCCACCCCCTCGCTGCATCTCTGATTTAGACTATATCGAAGGTTTTGGAGCTGGCGTTCTGCCTGTTGAGATTACTTACAATGTTATTCTAATAAAAGAGAAGAAAATATTTCTGTGAAGAGGCTTCTATCAGGTCTCACTCACTAGTAATAGATGATACAAGAGAATGATACAATAGATGATACAAGAGAATGACACAATAGATGATACAGGAGAATGATACAATAGATCATACAAAAGAAGTACAATGGCATAATTTTAAAAAAAAACGATCTTTTTGGAAATTTTAAACATTATTTTTAATTATATATTTTATTCTAAAACTCTTAAAATAGTATTTATAAATCAATTGAAAAAAAAAACATACAAAATCAGGCATAATTTACAATAATAAGCATATAATTAAATCAAACGAAGGCAGAAATGTTATTTTGCTATAATATTTAACTCAGCGATGCGTAAATGTGTGTACTTCACTATGGAGTTGCTCTAGTCAAATGAAAATGTCTAGTTATGAAGACTGCTAAACATCAATCATAGCATCAAAAATACTTGCTCGAAAGGATTGCGTGGACAGAGTAAAATTACTACCATTGACCAGTGACGTAGCGAGGTCGGGTGTCACCCGGTGCGGCACTTAAGGGTGTCACCCCACCCCCCCCCCCAGAGGCGTAGCGACCCTTCCCGGGGACAAACTTTCAAATTTTCGATTTGCAACCCCCCCCCTCGAACTTTTGATTTTCACCCCCACCCTCAAGTTTTTCTCTATATATTTAGCTATTTTTTGCCATGGTGTCACCCCCCTAAATGGTGTCACCCTGTGCGGTCCGCACCCCCCCCCCCCCCCCCCCATCGCTACGCCTCTGCCATTGACTCTTTGAAACATTTACTCGGCGGTGTGAGGGGGGGGGGTACAATACACTCCTTATCTAACGTTCTAACTCCCCCCCCCCCCCTTCACCCCCAAGCCTTTGCGGGCGAAATTTAAAACAAAAAGTCAAAGTACATAGTTTACACATTCCTACATTTGCTCAATCCCCACTGGAAATTTTAAAGCCACCACCCCCCCCCCCTCTCCCCTCCAACCCCTACATCTGAGTAAAATATCTGGAATAAACCATATTGCTGACTGTGATTTGCTTAAATGGTGACAATTAAGATTTCAATGTGATTTACATTTTTAGCCGATTTGCAGAAATGAAACTGAAAAGTAACATGCAATTACTTTTGGTAGAAATTATTAAAGCGATTTTTATAATTCACAAATTTAAGTAAAATACTAAACCCACGATAGGGACCAAATATTCAAAAACATTACTCTTTTAAAATTATTTTTAAGTTTACTTTTTAAGCAGCGTTATTTTGGACACGTAATGTTTTCACAAACTCAACTACGGAAAAAGCTTTTGGTCGTCAACTACTTCTTTCCGCGAGTTGGGCCCGTTGGGACGCAGTGAATTGGAGAGCAATATCGATTTGCGTGCGACCATAGTACCTCCCTTGTTCGTCTTCTCGAACCTCACAGCGCGTGTGAAATATTTTGCTTACTTTCCTATTATAGGCTACCTAGCGTTGGTCAGCACGTAGTACAGTCTCGGGGCTAGCAAGAGAGCCAGGGCTGTTGTGTGGTTGATTAGAATAACAAAGATGATGTAGTAGATACGAATCTTTAGTCGGTCTGACATGAAGTAGGCTGGGATAAAACAAGCCCATGTGGTCATTTGGATTGAGAGACATGTGAAGAGGAACTTGCTTTCTGAATAGTGGACTTGAAAAGTTCGGTAACGAACAATCATGAGCAGGCAGACGACAAGGAGTGTCAAGTTGTGGCCCAGGAACATGTAAATGTGGACTGGGGGGAACTTGCAGACTTTTTCTGCGTATTTGACCAGCTCTGAAGGCTGTTGGGATACCATCTCAACAGGTACGGCGATGTGAATGGAGGCTAGCATTATAACCTGTCACAGGAAAGAAAGAAAGAAACCTTACAAACATATAAATAATAGTTTCCACATTTTCATATTACTTAATTTTCTAAAAGCTTGATCTCTATGTAACATACATAGACACAAGGGAACAGACACACATATAAGAAAAAGGCATACCACAGAGAGAGAGAAAGAAGGTCACACACATATTGAAACCAACCTCACACTTAAACAGACTAGACAAACAAACGGTAAGACAACACACATACCAAGAACAGTCAGCCAACACACTGACACACATACACTAGCCACATACTCCAAATACCTTCCACAAACATAGGAAGACCTATCACACACACACACACAAAGCTCTGCCACACACAACAAACAGCGATAAACAAAAGAAGAACAATCTTACTCAGCCGCTAATGTTTTTTTTAATCTTAACTAATTTGAATTCGGAAGCTACCGACTGCGCAAATTACGAGCGTCAACAACAATTAATGTTTTAATAATGCTATACTTGCCTCAAAAAGGACGAATAAAACTGCAGCAGTTATTTCATATTTGCGAATCTTCTGTTTATAATCCCGTTCCAAAGTAGCGCTTGGACTGCAGTATAAGAGGTCAAACAATTTAACCAGAAAGCAGATATAAAGCGAGTTGAAACTTATTTCAAACATGACTAGACCAATGAAGCAGTTCAGTGGCCTGGGTTCAATAACAAGAGCTGGTATAGCCAGGTAACCAACACTTATAGCAGAGATCTCACAGTGCGTAAAAATAAAATGTGCTTTGTTCATAATTAGATATTGTTTTTTCTTGCAGTAAGCGTATAGCATGAAAGAATTCACGTAAAGAAGTGTCACGGTTAAGAGTACTAGCACTTGAGAGTGAGTTGAGAAAATGCTATCGTAGGAAAGTTTAATTAATTTACAGGCAGTTTTCTTGCCGTCTTGATAGTAGGGCCAGTAGAGGATCGGGCATTTTTTGCAATTTGTTCCGTTGTTTGTGACGATTTCGTAAAAGCTGCATCTAACACATGCCCAACACAGACGTGTGTACTTTCGAAACGCGTCCCCTGGACACACAGGTTGGCAGTGATTTGAGGCTAAAAACGTTTCTTCAGGCACGGTGAATCCTTGAAAATCTATTCGTCTTAGAATTCTGCTCTTCTTAGTGTAGAAATCAAACCTTGAAATTTCAACGACCTTCTTGGCGGTATTATTAAACGCGACGGACTGGAAAATAGAAACCTCTGTCACGCTGTTTCCTTCTTGATCAAAAAAAGGTTTGTCTGGGTCTCTGAATGATTTCATGTTTTCGAGAATCGAAACCATTTCACCTCTGTGTTTACGAAAGCAGGCCATCGTCTCGTTTTTAGATTTCCCAGGGCATAAAGTGTGTAACAAAGAAGAGAGTGCTCGGGCATATATCTTAACGGTATCAAACACATCTCCCAGAGGTAAAGAATTGATTAAATTGTCATCTTGACAGAAATGTTGAGCACATAATTGATAAAAACATTTATAAACTGTTTCATAAATGTCTATTAACCAAGGATCCCGGGGTTCCTTTTTATCCAACTCCAGCAAATGGTATTGTAATCCTGGAACAGGATAGGCCGATGGTCCCATGACTAGAATGCCTTTATTTAAATTTCCGTAATACAGATCGTATAAAAAGAAATCACATCCTATAATGATAACAGAACCTTCTAAACCCGAGCTATTCACAGCCTTTGAAATCATCTGTACTAATTGGTATCGGACGAAGACAAGGATAACGTAGACACCGAAATGTTTGCGATGGTAGAGAAGCAGGCTCTCGGCGTCAACATCATTCCTTACTCTAGAGATGACAGCTATGGACAAGCCATGCGATTTGTAAGCATTCTTCAACAGAGTGACAAAACAAATACCGTAGGTTGTTTGTTCAGCAATCACTGAAAAGTAGCTCCAACCTTTATAAGCCAAGAACTGAACCAAGACTCTGATTTGATGCTTCATTGTGGCCGTAATCCGAAAGAATGTGGGATACTGCTTCTGTTATTGAAAAATAAGAGACTGCATTTAAATGAATGGTCTAATTGTATACTTAATATTCTGGAATCAACGAACCGATTTTGTTCAGGGGTAGCTTGTTACGCGAAAACATTTATTTTTGGGTAATGACACACAATACAGCGGTATGTAAGCGGCTCAATCTAGAGGTTTTCTCTTGTCAGAATCTTATTGTGCATTATGCTAGCGATGCTTAAGTTTAGTCTATTTAACATGAATGTTAAGAACAATAGTGTGTGTATAACCCTGCTATGTAGGCCTTATTGACAATGCTACATGTATGTGTCTCATTATGTAACTCTGCTTATATCGTGTGAGATGGTCAGTCTAAAATTCTACAATTGTACCTTGTTGGACAACTCGTCGTCTGTGGCCCAGGAACTAATGACAGGCAAGTTCACGGCCCCTAGTATAGACGAGATTGGTATTGTGGTCAAGCTGTACTCTGTACCAACCAGTCCGATAACATCGAACGACCTCAAGTAGCCAGGGACTTCTATGAGATTATACAAAATCGTTCTGCAGTATAATAACAATTTCACAGATTCTAAATTTGTTCATTGGATTGGAACGCGCTATAAAAAAACAAGTCTTTCTCATCAAATCTCAAATCTTTCGCAACGTGCTTTTAGACTCGACATAATAAACACTTTTGCATCATACGCTGTTAGATTCGACACAATAACACAAATCTTTCGCATCATATGCTGTTAGATTCGACAAAATAACACAATCTTTCGCATCATATGCTGTGAGATTTGACACAATAACACAAATCTTTCGCATCATATGCTGTGAGATTTGACAAAATAACACAAATCTTTCGCATCATATGCTGTGAGATTTGACACAATAACACAAACCTTTATCGTCATATGCTTTTTGATTCGACTGGGGAATGAAGCGAACAGCTTGCAAAGCCGATAAGTTTGCGCTCTCGCAATTATCAAAGATCACATAACCTAATTGAAAATCACGTCCCAATTCTTTTCTCTGAAAACGAAAAAAATATACATGAAGAAATGAATTATGCGATTTTTAAATTAGATCTTTTTTTTCGGAAAGTATTATAAAATGTCAAAATTTAATTATTTTTCCATTTTCTTAACGTTTGTTGAGGTATAATAATATATAGAGGAACTAGGTCAATCTGAAGTTAGCAGATCGTGTTTTAACAATCAGTTTTTGTTTTGGGATTTAGGATAGGCCGAGGAAGCAAAAAAGTTGTAGATTTAAATGACATTAGAGGGAGGATATTAGTACAGCAAACGTCAATAACACATTTTAAACGAAATTTTACCAGGTATTCAGTCATTTAGAGGTTATTGAAACCCCTTTAAACACCTTTGAAATTACACGCAGAATTAAACTTAAAGCAAGAAGTTATTACCTACAGTGCACAAAGAAATAGGAGATTACAAATTGTATATTTCATTATAGATCTAGCTCAAAATTGTCCCACCTTGTTCATGTACTCAATTGCATAGATCATTGTTCTCATCATAAAATAAGGGATACTGTTCTGAACACGCTTGCAGTCGACTGTCACACCAAACGATCCTCCGATTAGAAAGTCCCCTGGCTTATAGAAATAGACATCCTTCAGGTCCCCAACATAGACGTACTGGTGTGAGTAGTGGGGGAAGTTGAGCATTAGAAACAAGCTGGACAGGACTGGAGGAAGTGTATGGAGCATGCTCAAACTTGATATCTGTTAAAAAAACATATTGATATTTTGAATTATAGTTGTACTAGTTATTTTCGTCAGTTAAAAAGTTAGTTTAAGATGCTCTAGGCTGTTAAAGTTTTGATTTTTTTTTTCTTCCAATACGCCGTGTTCCAACATGTTTTACCAAAGAACAACACGTTTTTTTTTCCTAATCCGTATTTTTCAACGAAACCGATTTATTTTTAACAATGGATGATTAGTGTCTGATGCAAATTCGCCTTTTGTACATTGCTTGGCCTATTCGCCGAAAACATCGAGCAGAACGTAAGTTGAGAAATACTTTAATTTCTGTATTTAATTATATTGTGACAACACGCACACACTTGTTTCGACTTAGGTATTACGTTTAACTAAACTATTTTCGTCAATTTAGACTTCATTAAAATAAAATTTTAAATTGAGTTTGAGTTTGAGTGTGAGTGTGAGTGTGAGTGTGAGTGTGAGTGTGAGCGTGAGCGTGAGCGTGAGCGTAAGCGTGAGAGTGATGTTGATGTTGATGTTGATGTTGATGTTGATGTTGATGTTGATGTTGATGTTGATGTTGATGTTGATGTTGATGTTGATGTTGATGTTGATGTTGATTTTGATTTTGATTTTGATTTTGATTTTGATTTTGATTTTGATTTTGATTTTGATTTTGATTTTGATTTTGATTTTGATTTTGATTTTGATTTTGATTTTGATTTTGATTTTGATTTTGATTTTGATTTTGATTTTGATTTTGATTTTGATTTTGATTTTGATTTTTATTTTGATTTTGATTTTGATTTTGATTTTGATTTTGATTTATTTTTTTATTTGGATTTTGATTTTGATTTTGATTTTGATGTAAACACATTTAAGTCGAATACTAACAAACTTCAAAACTAAATCCTAATCAAAAATGTTAACAATCGTCTAATTACATAGTATTTAAAGCACAGAATAAAATAAATCATTACCTTAAACCTTAACCTAAACAACTCATCTAAAATAACTGACCTTACTGAAAATATTAAACCGAAAATTGACCATGTACTGATTTAGTAATATCAAAATTAAAAATTAAGATATGTTATTTTCCAGTTTTTAAAGTGTATATTTTTCTCAGTTTCACATTTTCTAAAACGAACTTTGAAATAAAATGTTATTATTAAATAAAGTGAGTTAAACTTTAACAAAAATTTCTGTTTTGTTGTTGTTGTTGTTGTTATTTTAAAAAATGAATTTATCGTGCTATAACAACAGTTAATGGCTGATTATACCAATTTAAAATGTGCCTGAAGTGTGCCTCTTTAATCATCTAGGTTTATTATAGAAAACAATCTTATAGTTATTTCAATCTCAAATTAAAATAATTGACATCAAATATGGCCGCTATCACCCTAACAATGATGAAAATCTTTTAAACTTTATAAATATTTATGCTTAATATTTTGTTTAATAACTAGATCTAGATCTAGATCAAGACTCTAGACTGTAGACTATAGATCTAGATCTAGATCTAGATCTAGATCTAGATCTAATCTAGATCTAGATATAGAATCTCGATCTATTCTAATCTACCAAATGTAACAGTATTAGTACCTTGGTGTATCATAAAAACAATAGCGATTTTTCTTTCTGCTTATATAACATAGATCTAGTAGAATTTAAAAATAAATCTGTAATAGAGACACTTCGTATCAATCGCACTTAAATCAAAAGTAGATCTAACAATAAATAAATATTGACATTAATTCTCTAAAAACATGTGTACACCATTTTTTGCAACGTGATAAATGGTGCACATGAAAAAACTTAAAAGGAAATTTCCATAAATCATTAGTTGGTATCGATGTTTTATTACTAGATCTAGCTTTTATTACAAGATTTTATTGAACATGCTTCCCCTGTCTGTCTTAGGTTTTTACTTACTCTTATACGGAGTATGGAGGAAGTATTTTAATCGTCCACGTTTTAGACCTCACTGAGTCAGAAAACATTAGTTATGCAATTTTTTCGTCTGTCTGTCTCTCGTACAAGAACACAATAACTTGAGTACCGTTTCAGCTAGGTTTCAGAAATTTCATATGTAAGTACTATATCAACTTTGTAATTTTCGATCAATTTTTAAGCGAGTTCTAATAACCAGAAGTTGCACTTATACTACTTTTGGTTTCTCAAAAGCCTAGAACGTGATTACTATTTCGGTTATGTAGACGAAATTTCATACATGTCAGGAAAAGATTTTATTCCCTGGAGTCTGTCATCTTTTAAGTGATTTCCGGTCACAGTCATCTTTTAAGTGATTTCCGGTCACAGTCATCTTTTAAGTGATTTCCGGTCACAGTCATCTTTTAAGTGATTTCCGGTCACAGTCATCTTTTAAGTGATTTCCGGTCACAGTCATCTTTTAAGTGATTTCCGGTCACAGTCATCTTTTAAGTGATTTCCGGTCACAGGAGGTAGTACTTCACGCTATTTCCGGTTTCTCCAAAAACCTGCCGAGCAAAATTTCGACCACTTCTAACGCACCGATTCGTTTCAACATTGGCTCGGGGGGGGGGGGGGGGGGGGGCAAAATCCATGACAATGAAATATTATGTCAATCTTGACTTAATACGATTGCCTAATTAATGTTTACCAATATTTTCTATAAATAAAGGAGACAAGAAGATAAAGGAAAAGATTAAAAGAAGAAAATAAACAATTATTATTAAAGTTATAACAACGCACCACTATTTAAATAACAATAAACGAAAGCGTGACTCACTATATTATCTATTGGATACCTTTACTAAACTTTAAGAAGCGACCCAGTTTTTTCTTTAATTAAATAGTGGTGTATTATTGTATATTTAACGAAAACATTTAGTTATTCCTTTTTGTGCATAATCATATAAAAGCTTGTTATTAAAACGTTGTTTTTTTTTTGTTTAACCTGCTTTTTCTGTTTGTTGTGCTTTTGTCATATTTCATCCGTACTGGGTCGAAGTTGACGAAGAAAATGTTGAAAATTCCTAACAAACCGACTTTTTAAAAACTTGGCATCAGATTAAAATTTATTTGATGCTTAGCTAATTAGTAGAGATATGATATAATAAAGTTTCCTTTTATATGTTAGGGATATAATAAAGTTACCCTATATACAGAACTATTTTCCGCGCCAATACACCAACATTACATTGTTTTTGTTCCTTTGGTGTAGAATTGTTTATTTAAGGCAGTGAAAAAAATCATAAAAACCTTTTATAATAATAAGTATTATTTTAGTAATTATGTACTAAAAAAGGGTGTTACGCTTAATAAACTGTAATAAGTCAACCACGCTTTTGTATAGTTTCTTAAAATATGAATACATTTTTCTATATCTATAGAAAACATTTTTATTTTTATTTTTAGTGCATGCATAATAGATTCTTATTACACACTTTTTCTTAATATTTAACAGAAGTTTAGGTAAAGGTTAGGTTAGAAGAGGTTCCTATCGGTTTGATTTCAATGGACACAAACGAGAAAAGTCTTGATTTAATTTCATTGATGTTTTTATTGTTTTCGGTGATCAATTTTAAATCAAAACCAGAAAACAATCGGATTGTTTATATCCATCACAGACATTGAAATAAAAAATCGCTAAACTGTAAAAAAGTGTATCTGCAAAGTTCTCAATACAAATTAAAATGAGTTGTTTTTTTTATGTAGTGAGGTTTTCAGAATATTGATCACGGAGTTCCTGTACAGCCAATTAATGTTTGTCTTATAAAAGTAAAACTTCCATTTATAACTTAGGCTTGATGGAAATAGAAATTTAGCCCAAAACATTATTTTAATGTTCTCTGTACTTACAACTTCTATAACTTTGATTCTTAAACAAATTAAATTTATGTATTATTATTATGCTAGTTGTTTTTTTTTTTATTATTTTTTACGATTTCTGTTATTACAAAATCTAAAACAACGTGTTTTTGTTTGAAAACACACGTTGTTTTTTGTTTATGTCAGCAATAAAGATGGAAGATTGTCGCCAACACTGGCATGTCCATTAAGTTTTGTTTTGATTTTTTGGTTTTGTTTACCGTGAATAATATTTTATTTTTTATCTTTGTCGAATTCAAGATTACATATTATTTCGAATGCGCTTTTTAAATGTATTTGAATAATAAATTACACGTAAAATAATGTAAGGTCATTTATGTCTTCATGGTTGGAAATATTCAACAAGATTTTCTTACGTCACAATATTCGGATGTGAAGAGACTTCTATTAGGTCAAACTGAACAGTAATAGAGGATAAATAAGGCTGTACAATTACGTAGTTAAAACAAAGATCTGTTTGGAAATTATATAAATTATTTTTATATTATTTATTAATGTTTTAAAACATATAAAAACAGTATTTTACAATTCATCAATTAAAAAATAAAAACATACAGATCTGGACATGTTTGCAATAATAAGCATAGAATGAAATTAAACGAAGACGGATTTTATTTTGCAATAATGTTTAACTCGCCGATGCGTACTGAATTATGGAGTAAAAATCCGTTGCTTATGTCAAATTAAAATATCTAGTTATAAAGAAAGTTAAACATCAATAATATTATAAAACGTACTTAATCCACCCCACTGAGAGAACAAATTGACTGATAGTTACCTTGAGACATCTTTCCAGATTAGGGTGGGGTGAGGACACTTCACCCCTTCTCCACCCCAACCCCCTCACCACACACACACGAGATCTTCTAATCCTACCTCCCACTCTCCAGAGAATTTTTTTTAAAAGCCAAATAAATTTATTTTACAGCATTCTCACATTTGCCATCTTCCCACTGGTAATGTTATAGCCCCCATCCCGCGTTCCCCCCTTTCCCCACACAACCCTCCATCTGAGCAGAAGGTTGTAATTTGCTTAAATGTCGACAGTTTATATCTCAGTGTGACTGGCATTTTTAGCCAATTTACTAAGATGAAACTGAAAAGTAACACAAAATTACTTTTGGCGTAAATTATTAAAGTGATTTTCTATGAGGCATAAATTTAAGTAGAACACATAACCTACGACAGGGGTCAAATATTTAAAAAAAATAGTATCACTAGTTTTAATTATGCTTTTAAGTCGAATTTTTTTTTGGGACCAAATTTGGAAAATTGTTTGGCTTGTCAGGCTAGACTAGACTAAACAATGGACGTGACTCTACCTCGCCGACTATTCTTTCTGTTCGTGGGATCGGACATCGGGAGCGTTGAGAAAACTACCGACCTGCGCACATAGTATCTCCCTTGTTTGCCATCTCGAACCTCCCAGTGCGTTTCAAATATTTTGCTTACTTTCGCATTATACCTAGCGTTGGTCAGCACGTAGTACAGCCTCGGGGCTAGCAAGAGGGCTAGGGCTGTTGTGTGGTTGATTAGAATAACAAAGATGATGTAGTAGATACGAATCTGTAGTCGGTCTGACATGAAGTAGGCTGGGATAAACGACGCCCATGTGGTCATTTTGATTGTGAGACATGTGAAGAGGAACTCGCTTTCTGAATAGTGGACTTGGAAAGTTCGGTATCGAACAATCATGAGCAGGCAGACGACAAGGAGTGTCAAGTTGTGGCCCAGGAACAAGTAAATGTGGACTGGCGGGAAACTGCAGACGTTCTCAGCGTAGTTGACCAGCTCTGAAGGCTGTTGGGACACCATCTCGGCGGGGAAGAGTATGTGCATCAAAGCTATAATAATACTCTGTCACAAGACATAAATAGCAAATTAAAAACACGAATCATATACATATTTAGACATTTTCATCTTACTTTATTATCTAAAAGCTTTATTTCTCTATCACACACACACACACACACACACTTAAGGGAAACAATCCACACACACAAAGACAGTCACTCTCACACAAGTAGACCAGACACACGTAAGTTAAAGTATTTGTAAAGTTCCCCTTCCAAACCTGACGGTCTTTGGGGCAAGTGAAGTAGAGTTCACCTGTTTCTGTGACCTCGGTATATGAAGGAATAGTGTGATACACAAGCAGACCACACAAACACAAGTCGGCCAGCCATACAAACAAACAAGTATATCAAAAAATACATACATGAAAAACCAGATTCACACACTTTAGACAGGCCACACACACACTCATACACACATCTATACCAGGCATACATACATGAAAACCAGCTTCACACATACGTAGACTCACCACACACACACATACACATACACACACGTATACCAGCAACAAACATTGCTTTTTTCATTGAACTTCTTTTAGACACTATCATTTACTCACATGTTCAGGCAACTTTAATTATCGCCTAATTAATCTTGTCCAGTCAATCAACATTTGGTTGATTTTAAAACCTACCGACAACGCAAACGACAAGCACTACATTCAATTTTGTAATAATGCTATACTTGCCTCAAAAATGATTAATAAAACAGCTGCAGTTCGTTCGAATTCTCGAAGCTTCTCCTTATATTCCCGATCCCCAATAGCGTTTCGACTGCAGTATACAAGGTCGAAGGTTTTTATCGCCAAGCAGAGATAAAGTGCAGTGAAGCTGATTTCAAATAGGCTTAGACCTATGAAGCAGTTCAGGGGCTTTGGTTGAACAACAAGAACAGGTATGGCCAGGTAACCAACTGCTATGGCGGAGATTTGGCCGTTGGCGATAACAATGTGAGTTCTGTTCATCTTCAGAAATCGCCTTTTCGTGTAGTAAACATACTGCGTGAACACCGCCATGCACAGGAGTGATAATGACACAAAAATTAACAACTGCGAGTAAAGTGAAAAAATGGTGACGTAGGAAAGTTTAATTAATGCACAATTTGTTTTTTTGCTGTCTTCATAAGACGGCCAGTAAAGAGTGGGGCATTTTTCGCAATTTGTGCCGTTTTCTGCGACGATTTCGTAATCGCTGCATTTAACGCAGGCCCAACAACATCTCGAGTAGAGGGACCGTCGGGAGTCCCCGGCACAGGCCGGCTGGCAGTGCTGGGAGGCTAAAAACTTTTCTTCAGGCACGGTGAACCCTTCAAAGTCCATGTGTGTTAGAAAGGTAATCGTCTTGGTATAGTAATCGTACCTTGAAATTTCAACGACTTTATTGACAGTATCGTTGGCGATCGACTGGAAAATAGATACCTCCGTGACGCGGTTTCTGTCGGTATCAAAAAAAAGTTTGGTTTGGTCTGTAAAGGACTTTACGCTTTCGATATGAGAAATCATTTTAGCTTTATTCTGTCGAAAGCAGGAAACCGCTTCGGCTTTAGATTTCTCATAGCAGTTGATAGCTAATAAATTGGACAATGCTTTGGCATATATCTCTACAATATCAGCGACATCCCCCAGGGGTAAAGCATTAATTAAATTTGCGTCATGGCGAAAGTGCTGAGCGCATAGTTTTTTGTAACACTGATACACTTTTTCATAAATGCTTTCTAGCCATGGATCATGCGGTTCTTTGTCATCTAACCCCAATAAGTGATCTCTTAATCCCGAAACGGGAGAAGCAGGGGGTCCTAAAGACAGAAAACCTCTGGCCAGGTTCCCTTCGTACAAGTCATAGTAAAAGAAATCACATCCTATCACAACAAGCGATCCCTCTAGACCCGCGCTCTTCACGGCGCTTGAAATCTTCTCCACCAAAGAGTACCGAACGAACGCCACTATGACGTAGACTCCAAACTTTTCGCGATGGTAGAGGAGCAGACTTTTGAAGTCGACGTCCTCACTCACGCTCGAGATGACGGCGATGCACATGCCGCTTCTTTTGTAGCTCTTCTTTAACAGTTTGACATTTCGATGGCCGTACTCGGTGGCGTCTGCTATCACTGAAAAGTAGAGCCATTCTTTCTGGCGCAAGAAGTGCAGCAGGCCATCGATGTGATGCGGCATGGAGGAGGTCACACGAAAGATTGTTGGGTACGTCAGCTGTCATCAAAATAAAATGTGTCACTTAGCATTTAGCATGTAACGTCTGTTTATAAAAAAAAAAGGCACACGAGTAATTATTTCGCAATGGCATATACATGTATACACGTAATTTTGCTTGTGCACGTATACGCAGATATATAATTTGAGAAAGTGAAAGTTTATTCTTAACGACCTTTAGCAGTCAAAACCCATACAAGGGTATAGACCCAAACATATATTGACGTGGACTGGTAGTAATATAAGCTCACCTAAAGTGCTGAGTTGGGGAATGGGTAGATTCTTAAATCTAAATACTTTTAAACTTGCTTCTTCTTCCTTCTTAATTTTACTGTTGGAAGGGATTCCCTCCAACACAATTAAGTAAACGTGTCAACTGGTTATGCGCCATTGAAGCCATTGACTCCAATTTCAGCCTGTTTTTCTTTTTGGATCTGCTTCCATAGCCTTTGTTCAACCAAGAATAAACTTCGAGGCAGCAGTTGTTTGATTTTGGAGTTGTCTCTCCTAGAAGAGTGACTGTCCCCAGCTATTGAGCCTCGCATACACTGGGGTTCGAACCGGGACTTATCGGTTGAGTAACCATGAGCTTAACCACGCCGACCTCCACCGATACGTTGACTTGAGTAGACAGACTAACAGACTAAAAACGAATTAAAAAAATATACCTTAATTAATAAGCTCATTTTATGGGTAGGCCTACTTAAGAGAAAATAGTTGCATGCATCGGGGACTCTTAAAAAAATATGGTTGCCATAGCAACGACGGCCATCTTGAAAAAATAACCTTTTGTGAAGGTCTCAAGGTTAAAAAATGAACACTTTAATTTTACTGATTTTTCACCATACCAAATTTTGAAAATTAAAAAAAAATGGTTTTCTGTTACAACCACTAATGAGCTGACTAGATATTAGAGTTAGTCCACGATTATATGAGACCTTCGCAAAAAATAAAGTAAGTACTGCTTCAGGTTACCAGAAATTGCTCAGAAAATTTTAGGAAAGTTCAAATATGATAAAAAGAAATTCCGTCAAATAACTGAAACGGTACTCAAGTTATTATGTGTACATATAAACAAAGAGACGTACACTATTACAAAATTAAATTAAAGTTTTTCCGGCTCGGAAGATTATAAAAACGTGAAAATATGTCAATGTGTTTGATTTTTTGAATGATTGCTATAGAGTGTAGATCATTTATGTTCCGTATACGAACAAGTAGGGAACTTTAATGTGGGGTTGCCGCCTGGGCGCCGACACTTAGGGGCGCCAAGCGTGGTAGAAAAAAAAACTATATAAAAAGATCTTTCAAAGCTGCATTACTGAATCATCCACAGTCATTTGCCAAAGAAAATAAACGGCTATTTAACGGACTTTTAAAACTGTTTTTTTTTAATCAATATGGGACACCAGAATAAAACGGAATGTGGCCAGTAAACAGCGTATCAACACTTCCCAACTGGTGGAGTGGGGGGGGGGGTGTTGCTTTTTCACCAACGATAATTCTATGTATATAATTGGAGCAGCAAAATGAATAGTTTGCCTTGGCTGCCGGAGAGGGTCGCTACGCCGCTGGTATCACTAAAGACATGAAAACCGAACTTGTATATTTCCTTACCTTGTTCTTCAGCGCGTCGTCCGTAGCCCAGGAACTGATGACTGGCATTTGTATGGCTCCCAGGATAACCGAGAGGGGTATTGTGGTCAAACTGTACTCGGTACCAACCACTCCGATAACATCGAACGATCTCAAATAGCCAGGGATGTCTGTGAGAATATCAAAAAAATAGTTCTGCGGTATAATTGTAATTCCACAGATTTTGAAGTTGTTTCTGAGATTTGAAATAATAAAACAAACATTTCTCATCATACGATGTTAGATTGGACAGAATAAAACAAACATTTCTCATCATACGATGTTAGATTGGACAGAATAAAACAAACATTTCTCATCATAAGATTTTAGAAATAGACAAAATAAAACCAACATTTCTCATCACACGATGTTAAATTGGACATAATAAAACAAACATTTCTCATCATACGATGTTAGATTGGAGAGAATAAAACAAACATTTCTCACCATACGATGTTAGATTGGAGAGAATAAAACAAACATTTCTTATCATACGATGTTAGATTGGAGAGAATACAACAAACATTTCTCATCATACGATGTTAGATTGGAGAGAATAAAACAAACTTTTCTAGTCATGTGTAGCTAGATTAGACAAATTAAAACAAACCTTTATCGTCGTGTGTAGCTAGATTAGACAAATTAAAACAAACCTTTATCGTCGTGTGTAGCTAGATTAGACAAATTAAAACAAACCTTTATCGTCGTGTGTAGCTAGATTAGACAAATTAAAACAAACCTTTATCGTCGTGTGTAGCTAGATTAGACAAATTAAAACAAACCTTTATCGTCGTGTGTAGCTAGATTAGACAAATTAAAACAAACCTTTATCGTCGTGTGTAGCTAGATTAGACAAATTAAAACAAACCTTTATCGTCGTGTGTAGCTAGATTAGACAAATTAAAACAAACCTTTATCGTCGTGTGTAGCTAGATTAGACAAATTAAAACAAACCTTTATCGTCGTGTGTAGCTAGATTAGACAAATTAAAACAAACCTTTATCGTCGTGTGTAGCTAGATTAGACAAATTAAAACAAACCTTTATCGTCGTGTGTAGCTAGATTAGACAAATTAAAACAAACCTTTATCGTCGTGTGTAGCTAGATTAGACAAATTAAAACAAACCTTTATCGTCGTGTGTAGCTAGATTAGATAAATTAAAACAAACCTTTATCGTCGTGTGTAGCTAGATTAGACAAATTAAAACAAACCTTTATCGTCGTGTGTAGCTAGATTAGACAAATTAAAACAAACCTTTATCGTCGTGTGTAGCTAGATTAGACAAATTAAAACAAACCTTTATCGTCGTGTGTAGCTAGATTAGACAAATTAAAACAAACCTTTATCGTCGTGTGTAGCTAGATTAGACAAATTAAAACAAACCTTTATCGTCGTGTGTAGCTAGATTAGACAAATTAAAACAAACCTTTATCGTCGTGTGTAGCTAGATGTGACTGGGGAATGAAGCGAAGGGCTTGAAGAGCCGAGATATTTGAATTCTGGCAGTTGTCAATTATAAAATAACCCAATGTAAAATCTGGAAGAATTTTTTTCTCCTGGAAAAGAAAAATAATAAATAAATGTTCGAGTCTTTTAAACTGGAACGGTCGCATTGAAAATGATGTACAATATCTATAAATAATGTTTTGTCATTACGTTTGGTATCTGCCAATCTGTTACCGGAGATGGGGCGGGCTAGATCTCAGCGGATAACGTGCTCAGATGATAGAGAGTCGAATAGCTTACCTGAAAGTCTAGAGTTCAAATCCTGGTTTCTTGTCATTAAGAACGTTCACCCAGCTCTGATTGTAACCCGACTTACGTGTACAATGCGGGTACGTAAAGAGTCATTGCAAGTAACTTAACTACAAATTAGGGGACGTAGTGGTCTAGCAGTAGAGAGCTGGACTGCTAACCCGTAAGTCTCGAGTTCGAATTCGTTAATGAAAGTAAAGGCGGCTGGGCTAGTACTGACCACACTATCTCTTCATATGCCGAAGTCACTTTCCCTATAGACCGTCAGGTTTGAAAAGGGAACTTTACTTAAACAACAAATGTATTTTTTATCACGGCTAAAATGTTACCCTGTTCACTACGTCGACTGCGTGGACCATTGTCCGCATTAGAGCATAGGGAATGTTGTTGTGGACACTGTGGCAATCATAGGTTACTCCAAACGATCCTCCGATTATAAAGTCCCCTGGCTTATAGAAATAGACATCCTTCAGGTCCCCGCTGTACACGTACTGGTGTGAGTAGTGGGGGAAGTTGAGCATTAGAAACAAGCTGGACAGGACTAGAGGAAGTGTATGGAGCATGCTCAAACCTGACATCTGAAACAGAAACACATTTCAACTCATGGTAGTGATTGAAATCGAAGAATCAGCAAAAAATTAAAATATGTTTATACGCTACAATTTTGTTTTTAGAAGGCCTATAGAGGCGTTATATAAGGTCAAGATGTTTGCTTTGCCTCGCCAGCAAGTGGCATGTGTTATTGGCTAAAACTATTTCATTTTCAAAATATTAGAATGAACAAAACGAAACGTGGATTAACCAAGTGTCGACTCAGATAATAAAGTCAGTTCTAAGAAAAGAACCCCACTATAAAACATCAGTGCTTGTAGTAGCATCCTTTAACACTTAGCAAGACTAGGAATTTATCTTATTATATATTAATTGTGCGGGATAGGGGGGTAGGGTTAGATGTAAGACGAATTCCTAAAGTCATCACTCAAATGGGGGGGGGGGGAGACGAATTCATCACTCCCACACCCCACCCAGATAGAAAAGGCTTTACAAAAACAATACGATAATTATAGGTTAGGCCTGATGGGGGTGAGTATTTATGACCTTCGATACGCACAGTGCTACGATCTTACCAATAATCGGGGCTACGGCTACGATGAGAATTAAGGTAACGATACTACTAGCAAAGATCACCTAAAATAACAATAGGCAGTTGATAACAACACTGTTGCGCCTGGATTTGGCAAACGCTAAGACAAAAACAATGAAAATGTTGAAGGAAGTCCATCAAACTCCAACAGTGTACGTTTGCTTAGTTGTGTTCATAGGTGCGCAGGATTAGGGAATTTCCGTAACTCATTTTACTTGGGGTAAATGATCGAGATTATTGTTTAGTAATCTAGGCTATTTATAGTTGTCAGAAAGCAATACATGCCTGAAAGAAACACTGCTTTTAAATGCACTACAAATAAGAAAATAAAAACTTGCTTACTTTTCAAAAAGGTTTGGTCGCTTATGAGATATACAATATATTTTAAAAACAAAAGCCTTTATTTTTTTTTAAAGAAGCACCTTTTTTTTTATTTTCTTAATTACGGTGTTTTTAAAAGCTTTTTAGTATAAAGGATTTTATATTTGTTTTATTTAAAGGTAAAGCCACTTTTAGATTTAAAAATATAGGTTGTACAGACGAACAAGCAACAACCCCTACACGCACGCACACACACACAAATACACCACGACCAAATTCAATACAACAAAATATAGATATTTTTTAAATGTAGATGGAATCGCGTCGTTTTAAAGACTAAATTTTTTAATTTTAAAACTTAAATATATTTTGCAATAAAAATTAAATATAGCCGTAGTTTTTTTTAAAATTCTAAATAGAAGTATAATAAATATAATTATTCCAATATATGTACCCGTCGAAGACCTAAGGTCAAAACTGTTAGCATTTCTCTTTCTTTGAGTTTTCTCATTTATGCTTTGTTGAAAAGAACCTTTAATTACCTATTGTATAGCAGTGTAAAAAATAACTTTTAATTACCCTATTTTAACGTGAATACCCTTGTGTCCAGAAAATGCGAACCAAACTAAGTAATTAACTTAGATGTTTTGTTTACAATGGCCATGGATCAAATATCCGTAATTAGACATAATTTAATGTTCATACCTATTTGAAAACAGTTTAGTATAAATTTGACAGGAATATTTATTATATCCAAATTACTTTCTTCGTTTATTTTTGTGTGTCAAAGAACAGGAGAATTATTAAAAGTTTAAATTCCGGACAATCTTGCGTCCCTTTAATAATTAAAATTGAGGCGAAAAAATATTTGAATTTTTAAACCTTTCAATATGACATTTCTGAGAATCTGGTATTTTTTTAGTTTCAGCACCGGAGCCATCTCTTTACCAAATGCCAACTTTTTGTCGTATCTGCAAATGATCGATCTAATTCAAGCACTTTAAAAAATGTATAACTTATAGCAGGCCGCGGTCAATGTAAGTTAGTTTTCGGTCACTTTAAACTCCATTATTGGAATGACTCTAATTCTTTGCTAAAATGAGAGTGAACAACAAAAACTTTTTCAAGAACGATTTCCTTGCAACTTTTTTACAAGTACCCAATCTAATAAATGTGAGGAACAAATAAACCAAATAAACATCCCCAAGCTTGTTTTTATTGTTATAATTTTTATGTCTAGACAGAATTATTGTATTTGTATACCTATTTAGAATGATGTGTTATTTTAATGTCAAGACAGAATTATGAACTATTGGTATGTCTAAGACTATTAATCGAGCTTTTATACGCACATATTTCGTGTTCATTAAGTTTGCTATTGTTTTAGTTATGCAATTGTATTGCATTAAACATTTTAAAGAACTGAAAAAAAATGAATAGAAACGTTTGGATAAAAAGCTTTGAAATAACTAAAAATAAAAATAAAAGCGTGGGTCGCTTCTTAAATTCTAGGAAAAGTTTTCGATACATAATATAGCTTTTCTTTTGAGTTATTTAAATGGTAGTTCATTTTTATTTATGTTAAGAAAATCATTTTATTTTCTACTTTTTCGTATTACATAAAAGTCTGTTATTAAAAAGTCTTTTATACATTATTTATATTTTATCTAGTATAAGAAATTGTATGTTTTAAATTTAATTATCATCTAGCGATGACTTCCATCAAACGAGTCGGTTGTAGGCTGTTAAAACTCTGTGATTATAGAGAGAGGTCCACGCTGTACATGAATCTTCAGTATCCTTGGAGGTTGTAAAAACCAATGTCGTTTATCTAATAAACATCACGTATATCATACATTTAGACTTCTATCCTCGCTTTTAAGCAGCAGATCTTCCCTCTTGTAAATAAAACATTATCAAAGAAAACTTTAAGAGCCCGATTTGTTTTTGAATCGCTGAATTTCATTCAGGCATTTAAAAGAGGTTATAGTGGTAGTGGAGGTAGGAACTGCATGTGATTGGTGCATTGGAAAAAACTGGTTACGTCTATGCCAAAAGTCGTGGTCATACTATTTATTTTTCTTGAACCAATATGTCAAAAGTCATTTTGTTGGGAGCCTATACGTCGTGAGCCCATTTTTCGGGAGTCAACTTGTCGGGAGCCCATTTGTCGCGAGCCAATATATGGGGGGCAATTTTGACTAGGTCATTTTGACTGGGCTATTTTCTCACTGGACGTTTTAACGATGCAGCAAAATTATTTGCGTTAAAACCGACCAGTGATACCTAAAAGACAGTTATCTGCCCCTGCTTAGTTCGTGGTACAGACAAGAAACCACCCAAGATTTGCCTACAAAAAGCAAACAGGTATTGTGGACAAATACTTGTAACCATATCCCTGGAAACAAAAGCAAAAACAAAGTAAGAACACATTTCGTCTGTAAAATTATTCCACTAACTTGTATTACCAAAAAATGTACATTTTTAAATAACTTAAAAGTTTGTAATCTTTATAGATTTACTATGACGTATTGATTTTAATTACGATAATGTAAAGCTAGATCTGTGCATTTCTATCACTCTGACGATAAGCAATTAAAAAATAAAAGTTGTATTTTTCTTCAGTCAATACTGCTTTTCTGATTTATTTGATTTTTTTCGTTGTCATCAAGTCTTTTAAACGATGCTAGCCTTACTACTTTCCTGTCATCCAATGCTATTTTTTGTTTCCTGTGTGCTAGGCTTTGAACTTTCCTGTGACCCAGGCTTTGAACTTTCCTTTGACCCAGGCTGTGAACTTTCCTGTGACCCAGGCTTTGAACTTTCCCGTAACCCAGGCTTTGAACTTTCCTTTGACCCAGGCTTTGAACTTTCCTGTGACCCAGGATTCGAACTTTCCTTTGACCCAGGCTTTGAACTTTCCTTTGACCCAGGCTTTGAACTTTCCTGTGACCCAGGCTTTGAACTTTCCTTTGACCCAGGCTTTGAACTTTCCTGTGACCCAGGCTTTGAACTTTCCTTTGACCCAGGCTTTGAACTTTCCTGTGACCCAGGCTTTGAACTTTCCTTTGACCCAGGCTTTGAACTTTCCTGTGACCCAGGCTTTGAACTTTCCTTTGACCCAGGCTTTGAACTTTCCTTTGACCCAGGCTTTGAACTTTCCTGTGACCCAGGCTTTGAACTTTCCTGTGACCCAAGCATATTATTTGTCTCTTGTGTCAAAAAACTTTGGCGTGACCCAACTTTAACTTGTGCATGTTGTGTCACAGAATTTAAACTTTGGCGCGACCCAACTTTAATTTTTGTGAACTGTAATACAGAATTTAAACTTTCGCTGTCCACAAGATTTTCATCGATTTCTTGTGGTTCTGGCCTCAAACTTTGTATTGACTCATGCTTTATTTCGCCTTCTTGTAGCGCAGAACTCTGAGACAGTATTGACTCAGATGTTTCTATCGTGCTGGTATCTTTGCGTTCATCGTTCCTCTGACCTGCTTCTTTTATCGACGAGAATTCAATTAATAGGTGAGAAGATCTGCTTAGAGAAAACCGCTGCGGGCCGCTGATTGCATTCCATATTTTTTGCCCGTATAGAACGTTCACCAGCGTGTAAAACATCATAATATTGTTCCCTATGATAGCGCCGAGGAGGTAGTGCATCTTGATGATTCGTGACATGGTTAAATGGTAGGCAGGCAGAAAGGCGGTCCACACAATACACGTCCATGTAATGAAGTTCCGGATTGTCCGACTCTGAAACGTGGTGTCTACGTGGGAGCAGGAGAGGTAGGCGCAGTGGTATGCTGGCGTTAGAATGGCCAGCGTGAACAGGTAGAAGGGGACGAAGAAGACTTCGTAGATGTCACACGTCAGCTCCACAAGGCTCTCCCCCAGAACCGGCTGGTGCTTCAGCGCTTGGATGGGGCGGGTGTGTACAATGATCACATAGGATCCATTCTAGGAGAAAACGAATAGCATTACGATAAATTTGATTCAACTCGCGACAAAACTGTCTTAAAACCAGAGGCGTAGCGACCTGGGGACAAACTTTTCGATTTGCACCCCCCCCCTCCAGATTTTGATTTGCAACCCCCCCCCTATTACTTTCGATTTGCACCCCGCTCAATCTTTCAATTTATTTTTCCAACCCATTTTGGCGCCCCCTAAGGTCGGCGCCCAGGGACATATGTCCCCCGCCCTCGCTGTGCTACTGCTTAAAACTCCTACAAAATAATGTCATTAAATTCTCGACAAATATTTTCATTAAATTTTCGACAAATATTGTCATTAAATTCTCGACAATTATTGTCATTAAATTCTCGACAAATAATGTCAATACATTCTCGACAAATATTGTCATTAAATTCTCGATAAATAATGACATTAAATTCTCGACAAATAATGACATTAAATTCTCGACACATATTGTCATTAAATTCTCGACAAATAATGTTATAATACTTTTGGAAAATGATGCAAAATATTTGAACTGGATGACAAAATTAATTCATTTAACGAGTGTGATGTGTAATTTAGCTTGAGTGATTGAGAAGCTCCTCCAGCGTTTGGTGGATTTAGAAGTGTTGAGATTCATTTCAATATCTCGACCTTTCATACTAAACTAGTCAATGTGTTTGTGATTGAAGTTTTGTTGTTGGTTCTGGGTGCATTAAAAACAAAGAGCGAAAACCGTATCGGATACGGGATATAAATGACGCATTGTAACCGTCAAACAATCTGAATGGAGATTTTGACTAATGTTGACGCTTTGCACATGCTGGAATCATTTAGCTTTAACATCATGTCCGTCTGTGTATGTGTGTGGTAATGTGTGTGGTTGTGTGTGTGTGGTTGTGTATGTGTCTATGTGTCTGTAAACACAATTACTTTAGTACCGTTTCAGTTATGATCACCATATTAAAATAAGTTTGTAGTTTTCTATCAACTTCTGAGCGATTTCCGGTAACCAGAAGTGGTACTCTACTTCCGGTCCCTTAAAAGCCGATAACTTAAATATCATTAAAGTTAGGTAGACTAAATTTCACACACAAATATTAGATTGTATGCGCGGATTTTCGATTTCCGGTGTTCGGAAGTGGTACTTTACTTTATTGCCTTTGTTACACGATAGCTTGAGACGAATACTTAGACGAAATATCACATATAAGTAAAAGATCGTTTACATAGATCACTCAATTTTTTAAGTACTTCCGATATCCGGAAGTGGTACTTTATTCAAAATCTGGTTTATAAAATTACTAAAAGCTTGAATAACTTAAGTATTGTTTCAGCTTGACGAAATTTCATAAATTGGTATATGATCTCATGTGTTGTTTTCTGCCGAATTCGGAGCGACTTCCGGTGGTTGGAAGTAAAAGATTACCGTTATTTCCAATTTCTCAAAAAGATAACACTGCTTACTAACTTTCCGCTATATTATATTCACACTCTTTATGTTCATTGGGTGCGCATTCTTTTAACTTCGTGAATCTGTAATGTTTTATTATTCTGGATAAAGCGGGAGTGATCTCCCCTAAACTTTCTCGAATATTCTTATATAACGGTACGTGAAGTGGCAATTCGGGATTTAGATATGACTTTAATCACATTTGAATTACTTAAACTTTTTAATAGAATAGAATTTCATAGAAAACAGCATTGCGCACAAAGCGAACAGCAAACAATGTGTGTATAATCGTGCGGAATATTAGTACATTCTAAATATCATATGCGTTTTTTTAGAAATCGAAAATGCGGCTTAAGTACTACTTCCGATCAACGGAAATTTCTCAAAATTTGAAAGAAGGCAAAAAATTACATATTTTACTTATATTTGAAATTTAGTTCATATATCTGAAACAGTATTTATAGGCTTTTAAAAAACCAACAGTAGAGTAAGTTCCATTTCTGGTTATCGGAAATCGCTGAAAATTTGATGCAGAACTGCTATTTTAATACAATGCTTATTTATGACATTTCATCAACCTAGCTGTAATGGTACTCAAGTTATAATGTTCACAGACACACACACACACATATATATATATGCAGCTAGTTATTATATATATATATATATATATATATATATATATATATATATATATATATATAAATATATATATATATATATATATATATAAATTATATATTATTATTTATTTAAATATATATATATATATATATATATATATATATACTAGCCGTCCCGGACAGGCCCTGCTCTGGCTTCTGTGAAAAACCTTTCTGTTAAAGACCATTACCTGTGTGTTTAGTAATCATCATAAACCCGGCATTGCCCACCCAAACCACAACCAACCAAAACAACAAAACGCAAACATAACGCTAACACAATTACAAATACAAACGAAAACAAAAACCTAACAACAAACCCAACCACAATCACAAACACAAATACAAACACAAAGAAAAAACAAACAAAAAAGCAAACGAAAACAAAATCCTAACAACAAACCCAACCACAACCACAAACATCATACGAACACAAAGAAAAAAACAAACGTAAAAGCAAACGAAAACAAACCAAATCCAAACGCAAAACCAGCCACAAACACAAACCCAAAGAAAAAAACACAAACGAAAAAGCAAACGAAAACAAACCAAATCCAAACGCAAAACCAGCCACAAACACAAACCCAAAGAAAAAACACAAACGAAAAAGCAAACGAAAACAAACCAAATCCAAACGCAAAACCAACCACAAACACAAATACAAACACAAACCCAAAGAAAAAAATACAAACGAAAACGAAAAAAGCTTAATAATCGACTATAGTACCCCAACTTATTCATAGTCGTTTTGCACTCACTTAAACGAATGTAGGTGCCAAACGAAACGAAATGAACAATTATAATACTCCAAGCTTATCAGTAAAATACCTACAACATTTGCACTTGATCAATCCCCGCTAATTATGTAATTATTTTTTTCCCAACACCAAAACAAAGTAATAAAAAGTAAATTCTTTTCCACGAATGCAATGTTTTATAAAGGGAAGTAATTGTGTTTTCCTAATTTATCAAAGGGAAGTAAATGCTAAAGGACTAAACATAAATAATTTTTGAGAAATAATTAGAATTTTTGTTACTTTTTTAAAATTGTGTTTAATGAATATGCCGACAATTATTACTATCAGTTTGAAAAATGAAAATTATTTCCCAACACTTTCAACAGTAATTTTTTAACTCATAAATTTAGATTGTGACCACGGTAAATAGTCTAACACTTAAATCCATAGAAGTATGTCAACGACAAACAAACAAACAGTTATGTTGCATGTTAGTTTAATACAGAATTGAGCTTTATATGTTAGATCAGGGGTCGGCAACCTTTTGAGACAGAAGAGCCAAAAGTTACAATTTACAAAATTTCCAAGTTTTTAAAGAGCCGCCAACATTTTTATATCATCATTAATATTATGATCTTTAATTATGATTTAGTAAATATATATATATATATGTGTGTGTGTGTGTGTGTGTGTGTGTGTGTGTGTGTGTGTTTGTGTGTGTGTGTGTGTGAAACTTGGGAAAATTGTTGAGAATACTCCTAGGAAGGTTTGTGCAAAAAAAATTAAGTTCGCAAGGGCGGCGTCCCAGGGGGGGGGGGGGGGTAGAGGTGCGATTTTTCTCTATATACGGTAAAAACAAAGTTGTATGCGGTTCGACACAGTTTATCCGAGTGCCATGAAACTTTGGGGAGTAAATGAAAATACTCCCGAGAAGATTTCTGCGAAAAAAAAAATTAAAATGTCTTATGAGCGGCGCCCGAGTTAGTGCATTTTTTTGTCAATACACGTTTTGGTGCCCAGAGTTCCAGAGCGGCTGTTAGTACTTGGCATCCGTTAATCGGGCGTTCTGCATTGCCAAGTCGGCAAAACTGCAACAGACGCAACCGCCGGCACCTCGTCCATTGCGCGACCCGAAGAGCCCCGGGCTCACCTGCGATCACTATAGCGCCTACATTCGTTTTTTTTTTAAAGTCTGTACACTATAGACACGATGGGCAACAATACGTTCATTTTAAACAGCGCGATAGGCTATGGATACAATGTATTGCTATAGTCGCTCACTAAATTGAGTCACTGCATGGTGCGATTTGGCGCCCAGGGCTATCCCGTGAGCACTTAGAGCCTACCTTAGTTTTAAGGAGCACCCTACGAAACGACATTCCGACATTCGATAATTAAACCTAGCTAGGGGCCGTACGCGGCGCCCCGGCGGTAGTGTTATCGGGTTCACGGGAGCGCCACTTACCGTCGGTAGTGATTAACGGTGATATTACGGTGAGTGATTAACTTACACTCAAGGCTTTCATACAGCACGCCATGGTGGTAGGTGGTAGAGTAGGAAAGCAGTGCCCTGATAAATATTATCCAAACACAGGAATTGTTTACATTTAAATAACTCACGTTTTAGGAAACAAGGAAGCAGTTCTACATTGAAATATCGAGTAAATAATGTTCTAATAGAATAGCGAGTGTTTAATGTTTATATTATTATTATATTGTTCACTACTGAGTGTTGCAGACTAATACATTTATGAGTTTTAAAAATAAAATAAAATAATTTTTTATGTTTGTGCATCGAGCTGAAGAGCCGCATCTTGACACCAAATGAGCCGCATGCGGCTCGCAAGCCGCAGGTTGCCGACCCCTGTGTTACTTATACATATATCAATATATATATCAATATATATATCAATATATATATATCAATATATATATATATCAATATATATATATATCATATATATATATATATATATATATATATATATATATATATATATATATATATATATATATATATATAAATATATATACATACATATATATATAAATATATATATATATATATATATATATATATATATATATATATATATATATATATATATATATATATATATATATATATATATATATATATATAAGAATAACGAATGGCCAAGGTAGTTTGGTAAGCTTGGAGCTTCTGCGACGTATGTGTATGTCTTTCTTCAGTATAGCAAGGGAGTAGAAATGTATAGCTGTGTACATGCTTGTGAAATTGGCAATAAAATAAAATTAAAATTAATATATATATATATATATATATATATATATATATATATATATATATATATATATATATCAATATATATATATATATATATATATATATATATATTGATATATATATATATATATATATATATATATATATATATATATATATATATATATATATATATTTAAATAAATAAATATATATATATACAAATATATAATATATATATATATATAAATTATATATTATTATTTATTTGAATATATATATATATATTGATATATATATATATTGATATGTATATATATATCTATAATATAAGCGGGCTGTGTCTGTCCGTCATCGCTATAGATTTTGGAACCATAAAAGTAAACTATGCACTACGCAGTGCTTTTGAGTGCACAGCAGTGTCTTATTATAAGTATTAGAGTAGGGTTTGTTTATATAACGACATAGAGCTATTTTATAATTTCCACTGTTTGTACAATTTTGCATAACGTAAAGAGAATATTAAATACATGCACATTGCTGAAACATATTAAAAGGATCAATGTCAAATATTGTTTTCGTTAATATTCCTAGAGAAAGTGGATACATTTTAATAACATAATAGCTGTAGGTTAGAAAAATCTAATTAAACTGTTTAGTAATTTTGCCAAGGGAGGTATTTTAAAAATAAATTGAACTCACGCTAAAAATGTGAATGCAAAATCTGCAAGACGGAATAATTGTTGGAATAATATAATTAGCAAAATGTGAATGCAAATTATGCAGACGTGTAAGAGTACATTATTGTTGGAATATTATAATTAGCATTGATTGATAAAAGGCTATTTTTTATTTATTTTATTCACTGAATGTAATGTTTACTACTTATAATTTTTAATCAACTATTAAGCACTATTATAGACGCGTCATCACGTTCATTCGGTGCGCAATGGTTTTAGTTATGAAACTCTATTGTAAATTTTTAAAATTTAAAGTACTGGGAAAAAAATGCGTGAATGGATAAAGTGAAATATTGTAGGTAAAACACGGATATTTTAAATACTGCCTATTATTTATACTGTTTACTAATTATTATTCTATCTTTCGGTTTGCGTACAAGCTAGGGGTTTTATAGGAGAGGCGTAGCGAGGGGGGGGGGGGGCATATGTCCCCGGGTGCCAACCTTAGGGGGCGCCAAAGTGGGTTGGAAAAAATTTGCGAGGGGGGGGGGGTGGTGGAAATCGAAAGTTTTAGGGCGGGGGGGGGGGGGGAACAGGGGTGCAAATCGAAAGATTGAGGGGGCTGCAAATCACCGGAAAGGGCGCGATTTGGCGCTACGGGCTAGACTGTGAGCAATATGCCTTTATGATTGCATTTAAATTGTGTTTATGTTATGAGTGTTGTGTTTGTTTTTTCGTATGTGTTTTTTTTTGCGTTCGTTTGTGTTGTGTTTAGTTTTGTCCTGTTCCCAAGTTGGTACATTTAAAAAAGATTTACCGTGGCGGAGCACGGGATGCAGCTAGTATATATATATATATATTTATATATTTATATATATATATATATATATATATATATATATATATATATATATATATATATATTCCAAGTTGGTATATTTATAAAAGATTCACCGCGGAGCACGGGTTTGTAGCTAGTATATATATATATATATATATATATATATATATATATATATATATATATATATATATATATATATATATATAAATATATATATATATATATATATATTGTTACAGAACAAAATATCCCATATACAGACAAATGATCTCAAGGACAGATGATCTGAGGAGAAAATATTTCAGGACATATAATACCTTGGACCGGGTGCGGGTGAATCGATCCCCCCCCCCCCCCCCCGCAAACTCACAGAGACTGCCTGGTGAGAAACAGTGTCACTTACCAAAATCAAAAAGAAGCCAGCAGTAACGAGTGGCCAAGGTAGTTTGGTAAGCTTGGAGCTTCTGGGACGTATGTGTATGTCTTTCTTCAGTATAGCAAGGGAGTAGAAATGTATAGCTGTGTACATGCTTGTGAAATTGGCAATAAAATTAACGGTAGCCACGTTACATGCGATGTCCGTCGACTTAAAAACATAAATTGGAACGGTTAAATAGCCCAGCATGGAGGTGATGCATCCAAAGATTAAAATATTTTCCGTGTCTTGAATAACCTCGATCTGGTTCTTGTGGAAACAAAACTTGATGCCCAACAGGCAGGTGGCCAGCATACACACGGCAGCCAGGAAGAGGAAGCAGATGATGATGGACGAAGACAGGTCAAGTTCTTGTGCTACGATCTCCACGCAAGTCATGCTGTTTGTCTCGGGCTCCTCTTGCGGCCATGACAGGTGTGGACAGACGCTACACATTGTTCGATTTTTTGAGGCGATTTCATTGTGCTTACACCGTTTACATGTCCAGCAGCACATGTCGTTGTGGAACAGTTTATAGTGGTTGTCTTGGCAAGGCGGTTTGCAGTAGGCCTCGGCTCGAACTTGAAATGGCGAAAACTCGAACACTTTCCAAAGAATGTCTTCGTACGTGATTAGCGTATTATTCAATGTGAAATAAGACCCTAGGGGGGTACTTATAAAATTTGTTCTGTTCATCAGCGCTTTGAAAAATCTGATAGAACTCTAAAACCTCCAATACGTCCCCTTCTTTGCTAAAAAGAACAGGTTTTTCGCCAAGAGTACTTTCAATACCCTGGAGGATCATATTTTTAAAATCTGTTCTATGATTGTAAAAACAATTTAAAAACGCTTTACCTTTTTCTGTGCACACTTCCTTGTGTAACTCTTGCAACACTCTCGAATACAAATACAACGATCGACGTAGCGCGGTATACTTCGGTACCTGTCGATTTAACTCGCTGTGTTTCATCGCCGAGAGCAAGCATGAGTGATTTTCAAAGCAGTTAAATGTGTCCTCGTACGCATTAAGAAACCAAGGGTTTTCTCTGACTTCTCGGCTGATGTTGAAATTTTCAAAGGTTTCATGGGTGTGATTCGTGGCTTGTATTTCAGACACAACAATCATACCGTCTATGATTGATTCTTGCATCACGTTTTCATGAAAAAAATCGTTTCCTATAAATAGAAGTTTTGATTGGGCTTGTTGCAACTTGACCGCTTTGGATATCAACTCGGCTGCTCTGTCAGTGACAAGCGCTATCACAACCTTGGCCACTTTCGTACTCCGAAGCATATTACTGACGATTTTGCTATAATTCGTTAAATGCCCAACGTGGTAAAAGCGATAGATACACCAACCTTGCTTGACAGCCTCGGCACGGAACTGTTTACCTATATATTCTCCATACATGTTAATGTCCAAAATTAAGGAAAAATAGCTGAGACTATATTTGTTCAAAAAATGAAAGGTACTAGAGATGTAGTGGCGAAGCGGTGAGATCAATCTTAAAAAGCTGGGGTAGGCTTTCTGAAATAGAAAAATGTCGTGCACGTTATTGTAGTAGTATTAAAGACCTAAATGCTGGTCGGTAAAACATCATTAGGGATGGAGGTAATTAATTACAAGCGCGGTCAGTGTCCAATGGTTCCCAATAAAACGGCCCCCTGGACAGGACATGTGCTTATAGCACACTACATGTGTGAATCCCGACAATTAGTTCCTATAACTATATTATCCCTCTATATGGCACATTTCAATAAGGCTCCTGACATTAAGGCTCCCAACAATAAAACACCCATTGCTATAGTGCGTATAGCCACCGACAAAATGGCTCTAGTCCATATGGTCCCAAAAAAAATGGCTCTAGTCCATATGGTCCCAGAAAAAATGGCTCTAGTCCATATGGTCCCAGACAAAATGGCTCTAGTCCATACGGTCCCAGTAAAAAAATGGCTCTAGTCCATATGGTCCCAGAAAAAATGGCTCTAGTCCATACGGTCCCAGTAAAAAAATGGCTCTAGTCCAAAAACGGTCCCAGACAATACTCACAGTGAAAATAAAACTTTTTTTTTCTGATTTTAACTCTTGCCTTCTGTATCTCATTACGATTTAGTCTTGCACGATGTAGTTTAGGGGAAGTAGCTCCCACTTATTTTAGATGTGAAGTGATGATGAAACAAAATAATGAGACCCTAGTTTACTCCTTAATTGGCCTACTAAACAGAGTTTCTTTAAGACATCTTTCTCTTTGGGGTCATGAGGTACTTGAAACATCCGTGGTGGGGGGAAGGGAGGGGGGGGGGAGGGGGGCATATAAGAACAAACACTGGCTAGAGCATATATTTTTTAGTGTTTTTATATTTTTATATTCAGTTGGGGGGGGGGGCGTTGGACGTGACCCGGGCTATAGGGACCCCCCCCCCCCCTTTCGCCTCCCCGAAGAGATGCCTGAAAGAAACACTGCTAGTGAATATGATGGTATCTGTATCAGCCTGCCTTATTACTCAGTTCGTCAAACATTGTCGAGAAGTTGATGACTGGAATCTCAACGGCTCCCAACAGGCTGGAGATGATGGTAGACAAAAAATTGAAGATCGGCCCGATACCCCCAATCACACGGTAGCTACGCAGCATTCCATGCCGTACTTGAGAAAAATAGAAAGAGAATTACTTTGTTTGAAACAAGTTTTTATTGCTAGAGTTTGTACGTTCTCTAAATAGGAGGGGGGGATTTTTTTTTAAATTTATGTGTAGGTAACATAAGTGATTCGAAAATTAAGCTATAAAATAAAAAAAAAATATGGAAACTAAGAGATACTTCACATCTAAGTTAATTTACATGGTGTCAACTAATAACATTTTAAGAGGTACTTTACATATAAGTTATTTAACATGGGGTCCAACAAAAACATTTTAAGAGATACTTCACATCTAAGTTATTTTACATGGTGTCAACTAATAACATTTTAAGAGGTACTTTACATCTAGGTTTTTTTAACATGGGGTCCAACAAAAACATTTTAAGAGATACTTCACATCTAAGTTATTTTACATGGTGTCAACTAATAACATTTTAAGAGGTACTTTACATATAAGTTATTTAACATGGGGTCCAACAAAAACATTTTAAGAGATACTTCACGTCTAAGTTATTTTACATGGTGTCAACTAATAACATTTTAAGAGGTACTTTACATATAAGTTATTTAACATGGGGTCCAACAAAAACATTTTAAGAGATACTTCACGTCTAAGTTATTTTACATTGTGTCAACTAATAACATTTTAAGAGGTACTTTACATCTAAGTTATTTAACATGGGGTCCAACAAAAACATTTTAAGAGATACTTCACATCTAAGTTATCTGACATGGGGTCCAACAAAAACATTTTAAGAGATACTTCACATTTAAGTTATTTTACATGGTGTCAACTAATATTTTTTATTTTTTTATGGTGTCAACTAATAACATTTTAAGAGGTACTTTACATCTAAGCTATTTTACATGGGGTCCAACAAAAACATTTTAAGAGATACTTCACATCTAAGTTATCTGACATGGTGCAGGGGAATTACCTTTACCCTATTTTCTAGAAAGACACCATTTTCCTGAAAGTTTTTTTTTTTAAAGCATGGTCACTTCCCCTTACTCATGAATTATTCCCTCCCCCACATCACCGGGTAAAATCTACGCGTTTACGTACCCCCTAAACACAAACACAGACACCCCCAGACACACACGCACGAACACACACACACACTCATACACACACAGAGAGACACACACTGCCTATTTCCATTACCCTCTGGGCTTACTGCCCCGCCTAAGACAAATATTTCTCTGGCAAATCTGTTTGAGGCCAGATATATGGTCAGTGTACGATGTACAGGCATAGCAGACGGTCACCTGGCCTAAAGCTTTTGGGACGGACGGGCATTATGCCAAGTAGGGAACACAACACCCGGCCTGCTGCTAACCATCCAAGTGTGTTGATGATTGGACATGCTCTACCAGTGGCGTAGCCAGGATCGTCTCAACGGGGGGGGGGGGTGCCAATTTTTACCCGGGGACAAGCTTTCGATTTGCACCCCCCCCCCCTCAGACTTTTGTTTTGCACCCCCCCCCCTTAAAATTTTCGATTTGCACCCCCCCTCATACTATATATATATACCGGTCTATGGGGGGGGGGGGGGGTTATGACCCCCCTCCTAACCCCCACCCCCCCTGCCTACGTCACTGTTCTCTACAAAATTACTTGACTATAAACGTGACCATCTCTCAGTGACTAGGTTGATTTTGTTGTCTTTTTTATTCCCACGTTTTCTTTAACTTGCTTTCTCTGTTTGTTTGTTTATTTGTTTGTCTTTCCAATCAAATCTTGCGATCGAAATTTCTGGCACTTCCCAGTTAGCTAGCGCGCTGAAATTTTCAGGGAAGCTTTCTTTTGGATGACCATAGAATATGCAATTGTTATTATTACTAAATTGATCAATGGAAACATTTTATTGAGCATTTTAGACCGCTATATAATCTATATATATAATTCTCCTCTGCGAGCCATTAGAAAAAAAACGAGCGACGCGTACCTCGCGCGCAGTGAAGCGAACGATCCCACGTCGCCACAGGCTTAGGGGCAGATAATTTAGTTTGAACCGAGTTTAAAGTTACAGGAGGTAGGCCAGTTTGGGGGGAGACGATATGGTCGAGTGGATTGGGCACACGATTGCTATCCCACTCGACACGGGTTCAAATCTATGTGTTCTAGTCAGTAACGTATTCACACAACAAAGCCATTGGCCTAATTTCAGACGCGACCAGATTGATAAAGGACATTCTCCCGACTTAAGCATTGACTTTGGACCAGATGGAATCCATCGGATTTTTTGGTGTTCGTCCTTTGTGAGTGTTTGTCTTCGTTTACCCAAAACAAAAGTGAATGCGAGAAGATAAAATCGATAGCAAGATTTTAATGCAAACAAACAGACAAAGACTAAAAAGTAGAAAATAATAATCATTAAAAAAGTTTTAAAAACCCACGTTTTCTGATTGAACTAAAAAGTAGAAAAATAAACGCTATACATCACAATAATGCAAGCGATCACTCTACTATAAGCGATCAAAAACGTGGGGGCTCCGTGATTTTCTTACAGTTTCTAATACTGCTGACTCTCGTACAAGCTCCCTAATAAAAGTCAATAGTATTATCTAATCAATAGTAATATAAACTTTTACTTCGGCGCCCCACGTTTTTCATCGCTTATAGTAGAGTGATCGCTTGCATTATTGTGATGTATAGCGTTTATTTTCTACTTTTTAGTTCAATCAGAAAACGTGGGTTTTTTAGAACTTTTTTAATTATTATTATTTTTACACTAGGAATAAAACAGTTTACGGTACACGATTTTCACAATGTATTTTGTTACTATTAGTTTAGTAAGGAGTTAATGTTGGAAGAATTACGTTAAGGAGGGGGGGGGGGAGAGTTGGGGACAGTGTTTCTTCCAGATTTTTTTTCTCGGGGGGGGGGGGGGGGCTCTTGAATTTTTCGGGAGGAGAGGCGGACAATATTTTCAGGATGGGGGGGGGGGGGCGGACACTGGTAAAAGTATATGTTTTCTATATTTGTTTCCATTTCGTTCGAAGGGGGGGGGCGATAGGACCCGAAGAGATGCCTGGAAGAAACTCTGTTTCGGGGAAGTAATAAGGTGGTTAGTGACGAGGGGGGGGGGGAGGAGACAAATCAAAGGTGTGGTAATTAGGGCGAGGTCGGAGACAAATCTCAAGTAATTGGTACGGTTTGGTTTGGACAAAGAAAAAAGTTTGGTAATTGATAGGGGTTAACTTGATGAGAACCTTTGAC